AAACACCCTCCTGGCTCTCATCTTCGCCAGACCCTATCGGGAACTGGTCAGCATTTGGACCATCTATCGAGACAGCTTAATTTCGTGGACTCTATCGTCCAGTGGCGAAAATAACCAATAAAAAACGCCTGTACACTTACTCCCCTTGCCATTCCATAGTCCGATGATGCCGTTGCGAGAACAAGGTCTACGAAAGAAGTGCCAACTCAGACCGAAGGGAAATTTTGGTGCGGACCCAAAAAAACGTATTGTCCACTCCTTTATTAATTTATGACAGCCATTTACTTCTTCTTTCCCTTGGCCTTGGACTTAGCCGCGGGTGCCGAGTTGGTAGAAGCCACACTGGACGCGCGAGTGGACGGCGTGGCAGAAGTAGTCTTACTACCACCACCCTTAACGTTGTCAAGTGCCTTGTTCTGTTTCTGTGTTAGCAATCGCTTTGAATTAAGTCAGAATTGATAATTGATTAATAGCATACCTTGACACCGGTCTTTGACTTCTTCTTCGCGGGGGCCATTCCAAGGATGCTGTCCTCATCATTCTCCTCGTCATCGGGCTCTCTCTTTCCCTTGCCGTTGACCCCGTTTGTCTTAGTCGGGTGTGCATCCTCGAATTCTTTCACAATCGTAGTGAGTAGTGTAGTACATCGGCGGCTGATCTCGATAGGCGTCCTGCTAAGAAAGAACCAATCGAATCGAAACAGAGGACTTTCTCGAATCTCATCACGAATTCGCTCGTAGATACCTTCAGAATCGATGCCATATCGGTCTAGCATTACCAGAAGGAATCTGTCCTCTTCCTCAGTGTAGACCTTCTTGTTCGTCGTAGACACGGAATAATTAATCTTCATTTGCTGAAGTGGAACTCGATATAGTTGCATCTTCTTCCTAAGCATCTTACGCTGATGCTCTGTCTTGCGCATACGCTCCTCTCCAGATTCAATCACCTGCAAGTACTTGTTGTAATCCGCGATTTCGGTATATCGTTGCCAGAAGACCTTAGCGTAGGCCTTAACTTCGGCGGCAGTCTTGCTGTCAACTTCTTCCGCAATTCGCTCATAGTCATGACGTCCGTAGCGGCCAGAGCCATTGATAAACTGCTGGAAGTCACGCTTGTTCCACTCACCGAAACCTTGAAGCGACAATCTCTGCTTCTCTTCTTGTTCTTGCTCGGTGAGGGCAGTAGCATTATCAATCTCTTGTTGATCCAAGGCACGTTCAGCTTCTCGTTCCGATAGATTGTCCTCGTCGCCGTCAGGCAAGGGAACCTTGTAGCCAATTTCCTTACGATAAAACGCGGTTTCTCGATCCTGGAGGTCACGGAGTCGCGCGGGGTAGAACTGGTAATCATGGACTGCGACCTGCTTTGGCGCTCGAGGGGCCTTAGGCTTAGCTTCTGCCTTGCTAGTACCATAGATTGCCTGCCTATAGAACTTATCGACGGAATAGGATTGCTCCTTGCGTTCCCGCTTTGCGGGGTTGATCCAATTCACGCCAATGTCCTTCTTTTTCCCGAACACTTCGCCATTCCATTCATAGGCTGACTCTGAAGAAAACTTCTGCAGGTCATCAATACCAAGCTTCTCATATTTGGCGTTGAGTTCTTTAGTACGATTCTCGCCCTTGGTCAAGATCTCGTCAATGTCTTCGTCGTTAAGTTCTGCACCCTTGGCTGCCATTCCCGTAGCTCCTTTTGTTTGGAAAACTTTCTCTGCGCCATGCTGAATCATATCGAGGAGCTCATCTTTAGCTGCTGGGCCCTTTGCTCCGGGATGAGCACGTCCTTGCTGAATAACTAATTGGTCAAGGCGGAGCTTCTGCGCTGCTCGCTCGAGAACTTTCTCCTCAATGGCGTTCTCTGTGACAAATCTGTACACAACCACTTGTTTTGTTTGCCCAATTCTGTGGGCGCGATCCATAGCTTGCAGATCAGCCTGGGGGTTCCAGTCGCTATCATAGAGGATAACGATATCAGCACTCGTCAGATTGATTCCAAGGCCACCAGCTCGAGTCGTAAGGAGGAAAATGAACTTCTCCGAATCGGGTTTATTGTAGTCATCAATTGCCGCAATACGATCCTCGTGAGCCGTGCCTCCATCGATCCGGCAGTACTTGTAATCACGGAACACACAGTAGTCCTCAAGAATATCTAAGAGACGACTCATCTGTGAGAAAATTAGGACGCGACTGCCCTGCTTCTGTAATCTTCGCAAGAGCTTGTCGAGTAGAGCCATCTTGCCCGAATTATATACTAGATGTTCGTCGGTGGTATAAGGCGGGCCAGGCTCAGCTCCTTCGAAGAGATAGGGATGATTGCAGCACTTTCTTAGCTGCATGACAATATTAAGTAGTCGAGTCTTAGATTCTCGCTTGCCGCCGGCGCCATTGACAGCATCGATATCTTTTTCTAAGATTTTCTGGTACCATTTCACTTGCATTTCCGACATGCCAAGATAGAGATTGATCTCCTTTTTCGGTAACAAGCTTTTCTCGACATCTGCCTTAACTCGACGTAGAAGGAAGGGTCGTAGGACCTTGTGGAGTTGCTCAACAACCACTTCCGAATCTGCATCCTGCCCGGAGAACCATTGGTCAAAGGCTTCGCTGTCACCAAAGACGTCAGGCAACAAGAAGTTTAGAAGGGCCCAGAGCTCGTGAAGGTTGTTTTGAAGAGGTGTTCCAGTAATAAGAAGTCTGTTTCGAGAGTTGAATAAGCGGATGACTTGTGAAAGAGACGACTCTTCGTTCTTGATGCGGTGGGCTTCGTCGATGATAATGTACTCCCAGGCAAATTTCTTCAAATGCGCCTTCTCACGAAGAATCATCTCGTAACTCGTGATGCAGACATCAAACTTCTCGTCAATTAAACGCTCGTTAATCAGGTTATGTCGTTCTTCTTTGGCACCTTGCAAAACTAGGACGTTGACTTCCGGTGTCCACTTGGCAAACTCGCGCTTCCAGTTATCAAGGGTAGACTTCGGTACTATGACCAGGTGAGGACCTTTAGTATCCATGATGTGACGAAGGTATCCTAGGAAGGAAATAGTTTGGAGTGTCTTGCCCAGACCCATCTCGTCTGCCAGAATACCTGAGATTCCGTTCTCGTGCAGAGAAATAAGCCAATTCAACCCAGCAATTTGATAGTCTCTCATTGTGCCCTGAATGAAAGCTGGCGATTCACGGAACACAGTCTCTGCGGATCCACCTTGTCTTTCATCTTTGAGCAGCTCTTCATCTTCCTCAGCTTCCGTACGACGAGCTCGACCAGTTTCTGCGCCACCCTGACGAATCCCTTTCTTCTTTAATTTATCAGCTTCTTCGTTCTGACGGTCGATCTCGTGAATAATGTCGCGGATCTTGGGGTTAGGGTTCGTTTCGATGAAATGTCGGAAGAGGTCGGTCAATCCTAACAAGTAACGAAATCTTCGGATGCTGTCATCCTCCTATTGTATTATAATCAGCAAGCTGATTAATCTTTAATGTTATCTTAACTAATATGCTCTAATTATTTCATACCTTAGACTCGCCTAGCAAGTCATGTTTCTTGCCGAATATGCTTCTTCGAAGCTGGTTGGCTTCTGAGCGCTTCTTGCGCCCATCGGCCATATGATCACCAGCGACACTACTTGCTGTGGTGTTGGGATTGGTATCTGTGTCAGTCTGATCTGGTGTTTCATCAACATCCTATAGGCTAGTTAGTATCAGCACCAATGACAGATAATAAGTAGTAGCCCAACAGAGCAACTAGAATATCATCTGAATTTTATAGACTTAAAACTCACCATTTCCTCAACATGGTTAGACACAGGCTCTTGCGCATCGGACATTGACGCGTCTGTATCGGCCGCACTGGCCCGAGGGCGAGGCGGAGCCATATTGGGGGATGTATCGCGATAAGTGCTCTACGCGACTGCGACGCGACAAATTAAGACAGCGCCTGGTGCAAAAGTGAAACTAGGGTTATAAAGCGGCGTAGTCCAAGGTTGCTAAATCTTTTGATATGCGAACTTTTAACGTATAGTGTCGGCGATAAAGTTGCCAGAGACAAGAACAAATGTGCTTGAGGCCGGATTGGAGTTGAAAAGGTTGAGTGAATGTAGTGAAGGTTGAAAAGAGCTGTCAAATAGAAATTAGATCACAGGCAAGAGTATCTCTTGTTAAAAGTGGATTAATAGTGGGTCACCGATACCTAAGCTTCGATAAATTGAAATCTTAAGGTAGCCGCAACAGACCAGGGTACTCTTTTCGGAACAACTTGTTAAGTTTGCAATCCTTTCCTAAAGGTTCTTATAATATTTTTTATTATGTAGTAGGGATTAATTGTGAGAGGAACAGTTACAAAAGGATTTGAAATCTACCTATAGGTAAGGAGTAACTAGCTAAGGTACATGTGAAGCTGACCTACATATACATATTTACCTTGTACCTAATGGAAGATAATATACTAAAGTCTTCCTCCAACCCCACGGATACTCACCCCTCAATTTTTCAATATGTGAGATTGTTTATGCATTTATATGCCATTATCTACTTATACGTAGCATATAATGACCTATCAAGGTTTATTTTGTAGTGCTGATTGGTTAGGTTCCTGGCGGACAGATGCCATTTTCAGACTACCGGTGCAGAGGTACCCGTGAGTCGGGTACATTTTCGTACATGATAGGTAGGTACCTATGTACTTGGCCGGAGGTGCCTGTGTGTTACAAAACTACATAGGTAAATACTATGGTTACAGGCTTACCGTACTAAGATCCGCTGGTTGCTGTTAACGGTTTAATAATTGTAAACCGTCTTTTTACAATTACGCTTTTATAAATATATATATAAATGCTAACTTCTTTATATACGTTATTACATATTCTTATATAAATTAGCAGAAACGAAAATAAACTCCATGTTTAGCGCGGTACTCGACCCACTTGTTAAACTTACCCATATAACCATAATAATATGCATATAACATTATAACATCTTCAATAAAATTAAGTAGGTAACTACGGATTACCTACCTACGTCCTGTTCTTTCATATATTAATCCGGGTCTACCCAGTCAGCCAGTCCCAAGATCCCCGGGCCATGCCTTTATTAACTTAGCCCCAAGACCCTGTTGGTCATCAATCCGGAATCATCTGACTCAAATATTCCAAGGCTCTAAGGCTCTAAGGCTCAGGAATAAGGACCCAAAAACAACAACAACGACAAACCGCATACGACAACTGCAACACGTAGCATTTCGAATCTTGCAAGCTTGCTGTCTTTAATATATCGATACCAATATACGCCGTCCATATTTGCTACAGTGATTTTACTCGTCTACCTCATTGTTTCATTGCCCTAATAAGGTCATCACAAGTCTTCAAGTCGGTCCAGCAGTCCAGGCAATATCCAGGCAATACGACGTAACCTGCATCTTCCATTTGTTACTGGCCTCGACCCACACGTTAATCCACACCCCCACCAAACCCAACGCAGAAAAAGACCAAGATCTCAATCTTGAGTCCTTTGACTACTATCCCATTCCATCGCTATATTCTCGCTAGAATCAACATCGATATCCTTTTGTTTGAGTACATCGACGTCAAACCGCCCGACCAGCCGATTAGCCATACATCACAATTCTATAATGGACGCATTGAGGGGGTCTTCGCCAGCTAAGAACGTGGCCGGTTGCGAGTCACCCGAACAACTACTCGATTCCTTCAAAGCCGCAGCATTATCCGTGACAAAGCTCTATAAAACCTCGGTCGCCGCCCAGACAAAAGCCCGGGCCGATGGATATCAAGACTGTTTGGATGATCTCCTAGCTTTTCTTGATAAGTCGAACATTGGTGTCAGCGACGGCGAAGGGTGGCTGATCCGGAAGTGGGCAACTGAGCGCCTGGACGGACGAGACATATCGCCCCAAACCTTGGAGAGCGAGGACGAAGTAGAAAAGCCTGAACCAGCCTCATCGCCCGAAATCCATCATTCCGGTAGCCAAACGCAACTTTCCGTGATGCGAAATGAACCCCACTTGCAACCAGAGCATACCCCCGCGTCTACCCATCAATCGACCGTCAACTCTCCTGCGGGGGAACAGCAAATGATTTCCGTTCCGACTCAGGACAGTTTCACCTTTCGGGCATCACACCCATACCCTCAAGAACCATACCTAAATTTGGAGAACCTGGACCTCTCAGATTCGACCCGGACAAACGACGGCGCTAGCCCGGGGTCTTCCGCCGTCCCCATCGCTCATCCGACTCGCTCGCGCACAAACAGGCGAGGAGCTAGGCCAAGGCCTACGAATCATCTCGGAAAGGGGGCTGGTCAGAAGCGAACGATCAACTTCGCCGAGCTATTCAACGTAGGCGACATACCATTTGGAAAGGACATGTTCGGAAGGGAAGGGAAGAGGAGTCGGCATAACTGATCAAGAACAGCCACTGTACATTTCTTGATATGCCTGCTTCACTCCTCTTGCTCCTCGGATGGAGATACGAGATACGCAGCGCAGCAGCTACGACTCTTGACGAAGTTAATGGGATTCAAATTAGGATTGGAGGCGGGGGGGCATTGCATGGTAGCACTGGCAAGCATTTTGAGGCGTTGAGTACTATGACATCGGTTCGTTGTGGTCCCGAGAGGGCGTCCCGGAACTTTTGCTACTTGCTTTCCTATAGACCAAAGTCAGTCAATATCAAACCAATTGTTCAAGTCTCACGATTCTTGCGCATCTGCGATAATGTATTTCTCTTTGTAGATAACCGACGGGTTTCGATTCTTTGTCCAGTGTTGTAAATAGTAAAAGCATTCACTTGTAATCAAGAGTCTCTGGTTCCCTGGCGTTAATGTTTTGATATAACAATCATTAATAATAACACACCTATCCAGCCCAAGATTATCACCGGTAGCCAGCAAGTCTCTTTAACTTGATAGACAGAGGAGGGCAGGAAAAGTGAAGTTAAGGAAGTTAATAATACAAGCATACCATCCGTATGGCTGTAGAAATCTAATATATGAAATGGGCGTCCCCAACCGCAGTTAAATTATGACTAACCATGCTCTTGGACACTTTCGTGTGTAGACCGTGATGGAAAAGGTTTGGATTCGGTGGCGTAGTTAGTTTTAGTTCAAACATTGAATTGTTACATAGTAATTATGATAGCCACTACAGCAGTGAATCTCTAACCTACTATTATATATTATGGTTGATATTGTTCTATCTAGCCTCTGTCCGATATTATCATTATCAGCTTACACAAGCATCTGCTACAAGATATTTAGGTTTTCATATACTCTTCCTTGCTACAAATTACTCATTGATATACTTTAGTAAATGCAAATGCTTTTAAATAGAATACATTTATGGCAAGATATGTAAGTGACCAACATCATTACTTTGGTAGGATATATATTTCAATTCACAATCGTCATTCTAACTCATACATAGGCCATAATCAATACAAACTCAACAATGTGACTGGGACACAGTACATAACAGGATTACGACAACTCTATTTCTTAGGTACCCATCCATCCTAGCTAAGAATAGCCTCGTTTGATATTGACATTTTTCGATGTTCTTATTTAGACTTTGACCTGAAGAGATCAAGATCCTTAAATTAAGATTCGAGAACTTAATATTGTGCATCTCAGCCGTAGGCTAAAACGTCAAATAGATTAGTCTACTGTAATTCGATAACTAGCTTTTATCAGAACGTCATTGGGTAATCAGACTATAAAACGAATAAGACCACAACACATAAAATAGCAAGGCTCTATTGCCACGAAATTTATTAAATGTCCAATAACCTATTTACACATAAATCCAAAGCAAACCGTGCCCGCGGTACTCCCACGTGTCACGTACAACCCTCCTTACTCGATCGATAGCTTAGTCTCGAGCCACTTCGTAAATCTAACTGTCGGCGCGTCTACAGCGCGCCAGAAGACATCCGCTGCCCAGATGACAAGCGGGATGTTAAAAGTAGCCGCGAGCACGCAGCCCCAGTTATACATGGAGCCGTCCGTGGTTGTATAGTCCCAAGCACGCTTCTGTATCATGAAGCCGATGGTATGTGTGACAGGGCCGTGCATAAGGTAGAGCGCATAGCTGATGCGCCCAAAGTACTGTACTACGGACGAATTAAAGAACCGCTGCCAGGAGATCGATCGCGCTGTGCAAAACACGAATGCGATCGATCCGATCATCTGGTAGTATCGGTACTTATCCGAGAACCACTCCGGAATGTGCGCCCCGAGGTATTTCCACCCGGGGACACCGGCGGGTCCGGCGTCCGGACCCGACATCAGATAGAGAGCCGGTATGGAAAGTAAAATCCATAGGTAATTACGCGGGCCCCGTTTTTCAGGGACAGTGTCTGGCGTTTTTTCAAGTGGGAGTAGCGTTAAGGGAGGAGAAGACGATTGAGTGTTCGGATCGTGGGCTCCGCGGATTAGGTCCAATTCGGCGATTACCGTCCCCGAGATGAATAGAACCATTTCCCATCGGTCGCTACGAAGCATAAACCACATAAGGAAGGAAAGACAAAGAAATCGTACGCCGGTCCGCAGTCTAGCTGTGCCGAATATTATCAGGAAGAGCATCATTGAACACCGGAACTCCACTGGAATCGTCCAGAGGTGGACGTCATATCCGGTCGCGCCACCAAACTTCTCCCAACCCCAGATGTGAACGAAATCGTACATCTCCTTCATCCAATGGCGTAGCTGTTTCCGGGTAGTCTCTTCTAAAATGGGATGATGCTCTATGACATTGTGTATGTATTTCCGATCACCGGAAAAGCCTCTGGTGATCTCGTAAAAGCCGAAGCGAAGTAGGATCAATACGCCAAAGGTCGAAATCATCGGCGGGAGGTATAAGCGAAAGAAGCGTCGGAAGACGAATGAGGTCATGGTTTGTGAGAATCCATCGAAAGAACGACTTCGAATTTGTTTTAGTGGCTTTAATGAGAGGGCGTATCCTGAAATGACAAAAAATATGCAGACCATAGACGGACCACTGTAGAGGAGCCTGACGAACGGTAGCCGCCATATTTCGTAGTTGGCGTCGCCATGGCCCCAGCCTTCTGCTATCCTAAAGGCAGTGTAAAAGTAATGGCAAAAAAAGACAAACAACGCGGCTAGGCCTCGCATTCCGTCGAGGTAGGCGGTTGGGTGAAGCTTCTCTATCCGAAACCGCTCGCGAGCACACCGGTGGTGAATAAAGCTAGGCAATAGAAATATGCCTGTTCGAAGTATCGCCGAGCTCCATGATGATAAGCGTAGGCCGTTGCAGTAGGCCTTTGCTGTGGCAGCCCATTGTATACCCGAGAAGCGACCGTCGAGATCCGCGCGAGCACTTTCACTGTCTACATCTGAGAAAGATCTATCATCGATGAGAGACAGCTTCTCCTCGTGGGAGAGCGAAGCCCTCGATACCGCGTAACCATTCATTGTCCGGCAATGTAGTAAAAGAAGTGAAGAAGTTTTAGGTGGGAGTAAGTACCGCTCGTGGCTAGGAAGTAGGGATTTTCGACAAGTAACTAAGCCCCTGAGTATACCAGCAACGAGAATAAGAAATCATTACAACGAGTCGTTTCTGTTTGTCCACCTCAAGCCACAGCTATCACGGACCACTACTGATGAAGATCATGTTGCGTACCCCGGCTTTGAAGGATACTGATCGTCGAGGGGAAGCGGCTGACATATGTACATATGTCATCTAATCCAGTTATTCTTTACTTTCCTGGTTAGTCATGCAGATTACGAGCATCCGAAACAGTTCCTCCGTAATGTCACTTGACGTAGAAAGAAAGATATGCGGTGGGCTCTGTCACATATAAGATTATTGCTGGCGCTCGCTCGCTCCATAGCGTCGAATGTGGAGTGAATAGACTAGACATGATTCTAACGGCGAAGCCGAGGAAGTGTACGGTAGTACTCGATCGCAACTGAGAACCCATCTCATCCTATTTTATGCTCTATGTACTTGGTCAGCTTGAATAGAAGCCAACGTGAGATAGAGGGGGCTGTGTTGGATGTGTTGGATCGTACGTAGACCATGCGTGGAACGAAGTCAGTCACAGTGAAAACGTTTGAATACGGTTCAGAAGTCGAAGTAACGTGTGTGAATGAACAAGAACCCAAGAAACCCAAGAGACTGTGTTGTATCGGATCCGTTGCTTCCTGGCCAATGGACAACATGATGGGATATTTTTAGTGGTCCGACAGGGAAGAAAGTCGTCATTCTATTCTGATTACAGGAGGTTGTTGGTTCTAGGTGGATTATGAAGATCATTACCGTGCATTGTGTAGAAATGCGAGAGCTGAGGTTCAGTGTAGACCAACGCCATCTTTCCCCTTGGCCATGCTTCACCAGTCTTGTCTTGGCGATGAGATTGTGATTTAATAGTTCTGGATGAAGTGGAGTGGTGGAGTATTCCGTTGTTTGATCTACAGGGGACATCTACAGGGAGAAAGCTTGGTGATCCTTTCCCTTGGCGATTGGGGACCCGCTAATTTACGAGGAGCGTGGCAAGCGTGGGGGGAAGCTCTAAGGTTCGTTTGTAGCAGTTGAAACAGCTAGAAACAGCTAATGTCTGTGACAAACGAGTTGTTGGTGAGAAATGGAAGTTGGCAGCGGCTGCGAAACTGCAACTAAAAAGTTTAATATTTATTTCTTAGGTAATTATTCACTCCATGTCAGCTTATATAGGTACCTAAGGTACCTACATACAAGTACCTACACAAAATATAACTATGTGATAGGTCGCACCTGGCGTCAAGATATCAAACTCAAAAGATAAAGGTAAGAAGGCGGCCTGAAGGCAGGAAGGGCAGGAAGGATCTTCTACGGGACAAAAACATTAAATTATGTTCCTTTGTCCGTAACACCTTTTGGATCAGCACTGCTTTAGACATACCTAACGAGTCACATACACACACAATGTCGCTTCATCAAACAAAAACAATAATGTCTAATTTAATTAGGTATTACGGCATTCATGAAATTGTCTCAACCCCAGATGAATCGCATCTAGCCCCTAATAAGGACTCGAAGAATTGCTGATACCACTATAGTGATTAATCCATTTGAATATCTCGGTGTGCCAGACCAAACTGTTCTCTTGGTTTAGGACCCAGTGGTTCTCATCGGGGAAGCTGAGTAGCTTGCTCGGCACGCCCTTCGTTTGGAGTAAGTTGAAGAGGAGGATGCCTTCACTAACGGGCAGTCGGAAGTCTAGCGAGTTGTGAACCACGAAGTGCGGTGTTGCCCAGTTGTCCACGTACAACAAGGGATTCCATTCATAGTACGGCGAGCCCGGCGCGAAACCGCTCGAGTTGAATTGACCGCTGAAATCGTGGTTCATGAACCACAGCTCCTCGCTAGCGTACTGGTTCAGTGTTGATGTGCTACCGTCATGCGTCACGAGGGCCTTAAATCGCCTTCCAAGCTCGTGTCCTTGAATCCTAATGGGGGTTCCTGTTAGTATCTATGCGGTCCATTTAACCTTTCGAGAGTCAAAAGCTTACCAGTTTGTCATATATCCACCAAAAGACGCGCCGGCTTCAATGCCATTCTCCGTATCGACATACTTAAGAGTGCTGTTGACGTAATCCCAGACATGGACGAGGTCCCAGTAAGGGTATAGCCCCCATCGGCCTTGGATGGCATCTGTCAGATTCTGACCCCAACCTGAACTCGCCGTTGGATTTGGTGCAATGACGACGTAGCCCTGGTCTGCCCAAACCTTGAAATTCCATCGCGTACTCCACGAGTTGAAGTGGGCACCTTGGGGACCGCCGTGTGTGATGAAAGCCAACGGGTAAGTTTTACTCTCATCGAAGCCTTCTGGGTATATAATCCAAGATTGTTGCTCAATTTCAGAAGTGTTGGTCGAGTAGTAGAACTCGGATACATCCTCCGGTCCAAGGCCGGCAAGAGCAGGGTCGACCAAATTAGCTTGGAAATACGTCTTGATAACATCACCTTCTGGAGAAACGGTGTAGATATCCCGGCTTGTCCAGATCTTGGAATCAGATACGAGGATTGAATCGTCAGGCAGGACGTAGAAACCAGAAGGCACTCCTTCGTTGGTGATGTTCTTGGGCACATACGAGTCGCCAGCGGTAAGAGGAACAGGGAAGATACGTTCCCGGCCTAGGTCTGGAGCGGCGACAAAGAGAGTCTCCGAGTCCTTCGACCACGCTAAACTGTCTGGCGACCTATCCCAGTCTAGTGCAAGTGCAGTCACGTTAAAATCTTCCGGGTCCGCGTTGGCAACGTAGACGATATTACGGTCTGACTCGTAGGCGATACCATTCATCTGGAAGTACGCGATTTTCTTTCCAGAGGGCGAAAATCTAGGGCTCGTGGCTGCGCCTTGAGCTTCGGGATACTTTGTCGTGCCTCTCGCATTGATCGGAACGGCGTCTTTCGAAGTGCCATCGAACGGTACGTAGTAAATCACATCGGCAGTGTAATTAGCTAATGGAAGCGAGGGATCCTTGGTCAGGAAGACAACACCGCTACCGTCAGGCGAAATATCGTAATCGCTCTCGTCACTCTGATCGTAAGGGCTCTCAGCACGGGTGACATTAGCAATGCCGGAGACGTAGTTCGTAAGATCCCCGGAGAATGAGTAGGAGCCATTGCCTCCCTTCAGCACACCGCCAAAAACGGCGTTTTTCTTATCATCAAGCCATGTGTCCTAAGGGTCATTATTAGTTGCTAGCGCCGACAAAATTTCCTGATGAGGTACTCACCCAATGTCGAACGTAAGTCTGTGTGTAGATCCTAGCCGTGCTGGCTGGCGTGCTCGCAGATGCTTCATTGTATGCGGTGCCGTTAGGATACGCCTTAGTATACACGAGAAAGTGAATATCGCCGGATGCGGTCTGGACGGCCTTGAGACCAGAGTAGGGTGCGGGTAGAGAAGTAATCAATTTGGCATCTTCTAGGGAGTCGACATCGGCAGAGTACAAACTTATGCCGCCGTCGTCTTCTGCGTTCGTGCCATTGACGTAGATAATACTCGTGGGTTTGGACCCGACAAATACGACTTCTGAAATATCAGAACCCTCATACCAGACGGAGATTTCGCCGGTCTTCAGATCAAGTTTGTTCCAGTGCGATGAGCTCTTCTTGGTCTCGAACGTGTAATTTGACACGGTGTAGAGAGCGAAGTCCTATGCAAGTGGTCAGTGTTTATACGAAGCCCGTTGTGGAACATTCGATACGTACACCGCTGGGGTTTGGTGCAGCAACGCCATAACGATTTGCAGCGAGCATAGATTCGGGCGTGATGCCGAAGACGGTAGGCAGGGTAGCTAAAGCTACCGCTGCTGGCGATTGAAACCTCATATTCACGTTGGCACAACGAGAACCTCCTACTTTCTACGCCGACCTATGACCTTATGGTAGCTTGGCCGAGGCAGGTGGGTAAGGTTGAACAAAAAGCTCTACGAGAGGGAAGGCCAAGAGCACTATCAAATAGCTACGAACAAAGAGCTAAGGCTGGAAAGCCAGGCGGGGTATTACGAAAACATCAACATCACGCATACATACAGATTACATCGGTATCTCTTGGGATTGCGCCATGCCGTAATCTCCATAGACCTGGACTGGACCTTGCCTAAGAGCTGGAATCCTGCCATTTTCTATCTTCTATCGCACGAACCGAACGGCGTGGCGGGAAAAGAGCTCAGCACTAGGAGCTCTCTATATGAAAAAGGCAGGTGAGAACTTGGCGTTCTCGTGTCTATTCGACCGGCTGGGCTCGCGATCCGTTATTGGGGTCTCCAATAGGCAGACAGCTCCCGAGCTCGAACAGCTCTGATTCGTGGTCGGAATGGGTGGAATGATGCGGAGATCTCGCCTAGGAACCCTAGGTTAGATGCTGACGTTGGACCAATATGATATATCTAAGACCCCTGTCGACTCCAAATTCTCAATGATTGCTTCCCACTCTCGCAAGATAAATTTACGACCTAAACGGGGCATGATTGGCGCCAAGTGCGTGCCCCATGCAAGGGACGGTAGCCATCGCACATTCACCGCGGAATCGCGTGCTTGACCGTTCGTTCGGGATACTTCTTAATCGGGACATGGACTGAGGACCGTGATAACCGACCATACGTGATAAGTCAAGCTTCTTATTTTTTTGCCGTTATTACGTCTTATATCATTACTCTTATGAAAGCATCGTCAACGCTTGACTAATTGCCTACCTAGTTTGCTCGGCATAGATAAGAATGAGCCTTAGAAATAAGACTTGGATTAAGTTAAGCTAAGCTTTGCCGGAGGGTCTAGGCATTGAGTCCGTCTCGCTGGTCTACGTTAATGCCGTATATATACAACCTCTATTCATTGCCTAGACTACCGGGTAGTTAGAACCTCTCAGTAGGCCCGTTTTCCACCCCTAGACTTCTTCGCAAATTTCTTCGAGTAGCCCGACGACCTCTTGGTCAACGACGTGACGTTGCGTGTCGGGAAGCCTTGCCAACTAGTGCCGTACGTCGCGACCGCATGGGCAATGGCCCGGCTTGTCGCCTCGAAGGCCTCGAGGTTCAGATTCGTCACGTTGTCTTTGACCGAGTGGTAATTCGGGTCATACCAGATACCCGCCGTGCCGCCGAATAGCGCGACCTCCTCGTCCGTCTTAATACCATCCGCACCGGTATCCAAGCCTCCGCACGGTATGCCCTGATCTAGGAAAGGCCCGTAGTCGCTCCGTCCGTTGAATTCAGATCCTACGAAGGGCAGGTCTTCCGACTTGTACCAGTCCTCAAATAGCTTCTCGGCCTGGGCGGACCCAGCTGGACCAGACAGGTTAAAGGAGCTGCCGTCGCCGTCGTAGATGCCGAGCACGTAGTTTGGTGAGGCAATCATGTCAAAGTTGAGGTATAACCGGACCTTGTCGAGCTCCGAGGCCGCAGTGATATTGACATAATGCTCTGACCCTAGCAGACCCTCCTCCTCAGCCGTCCACCATGCGAAGCGCACTTGATTATTAGTGCGCCAGCGTGCGAGCTGCTTAGCGACAGTCAATAATCCGCATGAGCCGCTGCCGTTGTCGTTGATACCCGGGCCGGCCTCAACAGAGTCGCTATGCGCGCCTAGGAATAGCACGTTATTGGCGTCGCCGTGTTTGGAGCTAGCGACTACGTTGTAGCTCGTCGTGTTGTCAATGTACTGCCAGAATTCACCTGATGAGGCTACTGCTGCGTTACTCTCGATCTGCTCGACAAGGCGTAGGCCGTCTGCTCGCGAGATACCACCGACTGGGATCTGTGTTTCTGAGTTTAGTTTATTATGGTTTCATAAATAATAAATAATTTGGGTCATAGGTAAATCTTTACCAGATCGTTCACACCGCCAAGAGTGCCGGCTGCGAGGCCGGCGGCGGCGTTGTTGTAGATGATGGCGCCGATAGCACCCTTCTCCCCAGCAAGCGTGATCTTCTCAACGAAGGTACAGTCGCCTCGAGAGATCAGAGCGACTGCTCCGCTTAAGGAGTCCGGATGGTCCTCCTGATTATATAATTAGAGATGGGTATTTTGAACAAGGGCTACGTGGAGACTTACGGCATTGCAACCAAGATTGGCCACGGAAACCAATGGCTTATCCGTCCAAGTCCCGTTATTGCCGAATGAGAAGCCACCAGCTTCGAGCGTCTCACCATTGATCGACAAAGACGCCTTGGACTGGATAGTCACCTCTGTTGTGAACTCCTGTAGTTCGACGTTGTAATAGTCGCCTAATGACTTGAGCTGCTCGACGAAGTAGTTAACGCTGTTTAGATGGCCTTCCGTGCCGTGGACCTGATTATCCGGATTTATCAGCAAGGTATTTTCTTTCCTGGCGGAGAAACGTATGTCATACTCGGTTTCGTCTCGAAGTTGAGTAGGCTATATCCTCCAAGTCCTGCGCACAACCCAGCAGATCGTCTAGTAGAATGGAGTCCACCAGAGCTTTCTACTTGGTTATTAGTATGGTATTGATTTGCTTGATATCAGTAATATCTAGATCTTCTTACGTCTTGGACTAGTGGGAGTCCATATTTGGCTCTCCTGATGGGTTCTGCGCTGCTAGTGGAAGCGAGCAGGTTTATAGCCGTGAAGGCTACGCTAGAACGTAGGGTCTTCATAGCTCCTTTAACGAGTGTAAGTATTGTCAAGAGAGAGATAAAGGACGCTATGCCTGAACGAACGATAGGTACGAGCGTAAAGCAAGTAGCCCTCTCATCAGCAGCACACCATGGCGAAGGGAAGCTATATATAAAGCGAATAGGTAACAATTTCCATCCCGGTTATGTACCTACATCATGCAACCCAAGATCGTATCCTCGGCCGCGTTACCAACTCTAGATCGCGGCCCGCCAACGATGAGAACAGTACATAGTAGTGTAGCGGCTCGAGTATTTCCAAGACCATGGTATGACAAGGCCCCACGCGATATGACTTCAGTCTCGCCAAGGTGTAGCATTGGGCATTGCATTACCTGCCTTATCTAGGGTCGCCAAGCGGAACTATGCGGGGCAAGAAGCTCGGTTCTTGAAGAAATTACGAGTTCTACTCTATATTCCGTATGCTCGTTGGAGAAGTTCATGACGCTTCTATAGGGAGTAGCGAAGAGAAGCAAAGAAAGAAACTGACTGATGTTCTATGAATACTTGTACCCTAAGTCCCTGAGACGCGAGATTATCTATAACGCTATTGATGCCAACACGTACAAAATGGCTTCTAGAACCTGCAAATATATATAAATAGCTCTGTTGAATATATCGTGGTAGGTATCTATCTGTCTATGGTCCACAAACGGTTCCATTAACGTTTACTTATCAAGGTGTGATTTACGCTAGCGATGGCATTTCGCATTTCCGGCGCGGCGGCGCGTACACCGAAAGTCCAGAATGGGGCCAAGTCGTCGGCATCTGGACTAGAAACGTAAAGTAGGTAGGATTTCGCAATTTCGTTTGCCCTAAATGCCAAGTTGTTGGCGATTACATCAAGGTAAGGGTATATGATGTGAGCTTGATAAATGTAGAATTATAGATGTAGTTCGGGATTGGATATATATATATATATATATACACCTACGCCTGGTTATAATGAAATCGAGTAGGGCGTCTGGATAGAAGTCGCTGTTATTCATATATGTGTTATTAGGTTGTAGCTGCTCATTAGTAGGGTTTTAGGCGGTGCCTATGTAGGCTATAAACAAACCCGTAGGTCGGTTTGTTCCGGTCAAAGGATTGTATATGCAATGTAGAATCATATAATTTATTGTTTTCTCACTGAGTGGTTGGTTATCAATTCTATAATAAAGGTATATTCATACACATTTAGCTGAATTTTGGTATTGTCTACCTTTGAAAACAGCGCAGGTAAATCTACATACGTCATGTCGTTCTCGCTCGCTCTCATGATATGCATAAGCCCATGCTTCCGTAAACGCCATTTAACTCCAATAACAAGCACTTGACAATGGTCCCATCCATTAGGAGGTTGATTAATTGTCTAACCAGTCGAGGAATTCAGGAGTGAAGTAGCTGATGATGATGGTAGCGCCAGCTCGGAGTATTCCCTCGGTGACTTCGAACGCCATAGTCTTAAGGTCGAATACACCGGCCTTCGCAGCGGCATGCACCATCGCAAACTCTCCACTAACGTGGTAAGCAGCGATTGGAAGGTCCTTGCCTAGCTCCTTTGCGTCACTAATAATGTCGAGGTACTGGGCGGCCGGCTTCACCATGATAATATCGGCTCCCTCGCCAATGTCTCTGACTATGGCTCGTCGGGCAAGCCCACGCCCTCCAGGTGGCAGCTGGTAACATCTTCGGTCGCCAAACGAAGGTGCCGAGCCAGCGGCATCCCTAAAGGGACCATACAGACAACCAGAGAATTTGGCGGCGTATGACATTAATAGAGTCTTATGCGCAATTCCCTCCTCGATGAGCTTAAGTTTAATAGCCCGAATGCGGCCATCATTCATGTCGGATGGTGCAATGCAGTGGGCGCCAGCTTGAGCGTAGGCGATGGCAACATCAGAAATTCGATCCACCGATAATTGGTTGTTCAAGGTAGCGTCGTCTCTGAGGATTCCACAATGCCCATGGGAGGTGTACTCGCAGAGACAGACGTCAACAACAATAAATAGGTGGGGAAATCGTTGTCGCAACAATCGGATACCTTGGATGACCGGGCCCTTCGGATCGTCTGCAGCAGTCCCTAATGCATCTTTGGTACCAGGTTTGAGTGGGACCCCGAAAAGGATCACTGACCGGAGACCCTTTCGTACCAAAGGTTCTAGAAATGGGATTAATTTGTTGACACCGCGGCGGTGCTGGCCTGGTAAAGAAGGGATAAGAGTTTCGTCATCGTCGATATCTGAAATGAAGAGAGGGTAGATTAACATAGACTATATTTCGATGTTAGTCATTAAACACTTCATCTCGCTAGAATATACTGGGACATGCTGACTGACCTTAGTTAATTGCCGTTCCGCCTGCCATGATCTAGCAAGAGGATGGTGGTAACCGCCATGAAGTTGACTAGAAATGTCACCAGCAATGCTCACGCTGGTGGCTGCCGTACTCGCGTAGGACATAGTGGCCCTCGAGATATGGGAAGCTCGGTCGTCCATAGTAGAGATTGAAGCGGTGGCTCGAGGTTGACGTGGCGTTATTCCATCGCGAATGGCAAGATCGTGAACAAGATTTGAGAACGACATTTTGGTAGCACCTTGGAACCCCAATGAAGAAAGAGGGGATTGATGAAATCGTCGGCCGACTAGCTTAACTTATGAGAACTGTAGGAGAGCGATGCGACTCGGGGGTATGACAGAGAGAGACAGGGAGTATTGGTTGGTTAGACTAGGTAAGAAGAGAATGAAGCTTGTCCGAGTCGAAGTCCAGCTGCGAAGGCCGACGATGTAGAAAATGTCGAATGCCGTCGGGAAAAGAGGAAGAATATCCGACTAAGCTGTGGCCAAGGTGGCTAAGCGGAAGAAGGATACTTAAGAAAGGTGACTCGGGAAATAGTAAGTTTGCGACGGAGTCTACGGCCGCTCTGGATGCAGTTGCGAAATTCGCTACGAATGAAATTTTGCCCCTTCGGATCTGGTCGTCTAGATTCTAGTGGGGTTCTTCGGAAGGTATTCTAGGGTACTTGAAACAGTGTAGTTCGCACGTACCTTGTAAGTACTTGTTCTCCAAATATAGATTCCTAAAGATGATATATATAATACATATATGTATATAATTAACAATGTTGAAACATACTCCTTGTTTAAGAAGAATGGACTTGAAATTAAACAGTTAAGGCGGCAATATGAAGTGTGTAATGGTTGTATATCTTCAAAATGATTGAGGGTTGATGGTTTCAAGTATGCAAGGGCGAAAGTAACTGAATTTATTTTTTAAAGGTCAAACTCATGGAGTAGGTACTCTCACAGTGTAAAGAAAACCACCAAAGCTTGTACTTGCCATCTTTTGTAACGGGACTATCTCAGCAGCGGAAAGCATCTCCTACGGATTACTATTTACGACGGCACCCAACACCGACATTTACCGACTCCCCGCCTCGCAATTGGCCAATTAAATATGCACAATTTGAAAACACCTCTTATCTGATGTACGTGTAACACCAAATGCGGCACTAAACCGGACGCTAGGTTTCGCTAGCATCAGTGGCTTTAATCCTTATTGACAAACTGCATACCATCGTTGCTTCATTGGTTCTTCCTTGTATGACAGGACGCCATACTGCACAATGATGCGCACGCAAAAGAAGTCAGGCGCCAGACGCCACAGATTCCAATTAAAGTTCAATTAAAGTTTTCTCTATACCTGCCTGTTATCGGTAAGATATTGTGCTTACATCATACGTACCATAGCGGCACAATGTGGTTTCATGGAATGGTTCTAACCTATTACAATGATTCCATGTATAATAATGTTTTAATTTAGACCAAATGATTCCATAAGGGTTAAAATGATTTTACAAGGGCTGAAATGATTCCAAAAGGGTTGGAATGATTTTAAAAGTTGGAATGCCCTTTTAAAAATCAAAAAGTAGGTCCAAAAATTGAAAAGATTGGTCCTCGAACCTATAACTCCCGCGCTTATGTTACCCCATAATGGGGGTGTTTAAATGTTTAAGCTAATAGGACAAGGTGGCCAGTTTTATTAAATTAATACGAAAGTTTATTTAATTTTTATCCTTATAACCTTTACATTAAAAAAGACTTAATAATTTTTATTTAAAAAAAATATAATGGAACCATTCCACTTTTAAGAATCATTCCGACATTTACGGAATGGTTCCAGGTTTTGGCCCACTTTTATCACCCATCATCCAATTAAAGGCTTTAAATTAGCAGTGGGTTCCGCATTTTATTAGGCCATTCCAATTTTAGCAATCATTCCACAAAACTACATTTTGCCGCTATGGTACCTAACGTAAGTAATATGTATGGCTTGCATTGGATATTTGGTTTGGTAGGTTAGTTTATGTACCTGTCCATAATATACTTCACAACATGCCCAGTCGCCTCCAGACAAAACTCGCACCGCCTAGTAGAGCTGTCACACCAGTAAACACTATCAAGCTGCCGTAACCACTACTATAGCCAAACGGCGCGGTGTTTCCTTTCCACGGAAGACCTTGTATTAGATTCTCGCTCAGGGGTCCCGACACCACGTTGCCAATACCTCGGCCTGCAGCAAGCCAGCCAAATACCATACTTGGGTCAATATAGCCTTGACCTAATGCTTCTCCTTTTCGAACAATCTCCGTCATAACCCCCGGCCAAGTAGACGTATAGGAGCCGGCAAATAAGCCGTAGACAACACAGAAAAAGTATAGAAGCGGAAGAGACGATGACAACCCCCATATAACCAGGGCGCCGATGGTTGCACCAATCGTCGATAATAGTATGCATGTGGTGACGTGAAACCGATCGATGAAAAAGCCCATGGAAACGCAGCCAAAGACGGAAGCAACGTTTACTAAAAGGATTGTAGTGGCTGAGCCATACGACGCAGCGCCGAGAGCACTACGAGCGTAATTAGGAAGATAGATGCCCGGTAAAAAGAATCCCGTCGCTTCTATCACATTGGCCAACTGGTATAACCAAAAAGTCGGCATCACGAACATGTTTAAGTTGAAGGGTTTAACATGACTGGTAGCTGAATAGGGGAGTCGCGGCTTGATGTAGAACGATAACGGAATTGTCAAGGCGAAAAGCACACTAGACCAGATCCGCAACGTTGTCCTGAACCCGACAGTGCGGAGGAGGAATTCCATGAGGAGAGGTAGTACTACTCCCGCGAGGCCTGTACCACTCCACATGATGCCATAGGCAAGGCCTTTCCGTTGTACAAACCACTCATCTATATACTAATGAGATATCTTAGTTAGCGACACTATAGTATACTATACTATCAAGGCTATTAGGTGTGTGCTTACCAAGATACAAGGACAGTAAGCGATGCCACCTCCAATGGCATAAAGGACACCTTGAGTAGCAATGAGATGTGTGATCTTGGATGAAAAGGAGCTCATCGCGAGTGCAAGGCACATAGTGAATAGCCCAACTATAGACGTCCACCGGGCCCAGCGAGCGAAGATACGGCAGAGTCCCATCATAAGAGGAGCAGTGAGGTACATGATACCCATCGCACAAGTACCGATAACAGCAACATTCGGCGAGCCCGCAAAAGGCTCGTGGGTGCTATAATAGTCCTGGAATACTCCGAAGGCAAAAGGGAAGCCTTGGAACTACCTAGTTAGCGATTTGTTGCTTCCTCTTACTATTGGAACATACCCCAAACCAAAGCTTCAATTGCGAAGCACGCTGCCAGGAAAAGCCAAGCATCCTTTCCCCCATCGACAGGTGGCAGCGAGAATTCTTGTCTGTCATCCTCGGGCTGCGAATCAGCTTGTTGAGTCCCGCTCTCATCCGGTGTCGTCGAAACCCCAATCCTGGTAGTAGGATGAGAAATGGGATCAAGCTCTATATCACGGCTCGCCATCTTATAGACGAATAGTCACAATGAGAAGGTAACAAGCTAACTACAGCAGGGGAATTAAAGGCAGACTACGAGATGCACCGAGACGGCTTCTGATAAGAGCTATTTGAGTTCTTACATGTCCGGTAATGGAGGTATGAAGTGGAGAGGCACTTAATCAGACCGACTTTTACATAGTTAGTATTCACTTATCACCTAGAATTATCCTAGCGGCGCGCCCTTCCACTTGACGATTTATTAAACATTATTTACCCCGGTCAAGTTCAATGTTTTGGGTAGAAGGTTTGAACCCTTTAGTCAACATTACATACACGGTTACCTACATTTCTCCGAGGCCTCAAGAACTACCTACATAGGTAGTCGACCAAGAATAAAATCGCGGGTATATTAAGACTATCTGTTAAACAAATGGAGTGGACTAGCAACTAATCGCGCGGGGTTTATTTTAATTAGATAATATGAAAATCGAATAAATACTATTTTTAAGGACGAAAATTCTTTCGTTATAATATAAAAATTATAACTTCGTTACGATTTTAAATTACTTATTTATATATAAAAAAGGAATATATTTAATTATATTATATATACGAAAAAAAGTTTATATAATTAACCTCGTAATTATATATATAATTAATAAGATTTATAAAATAATAATATATAAAATGGTTATTTTATATAAAATTAATATTTTTAATATAAAAAGATATTTTTTTATACTTTTTATTACTTTCGGCGGTTTTTTTCGGGGGGCGTTTATAATAGGTTATTATTTACGATAAACTTTTATTTTATATTTTATAATATACGATTTAATTAATTTATTAAGGCCTTATTATTAAATATTTTAAAGGGATTTTATTAAAGTAAAAGTAAGGTTTACGATATTACTTTTTAAATAACGGAAAAAAGGATTTATAATGTTAAAAAAAATTAAAAAAAAAAATGTAAAAAAAATAAATAATCGAGTAATTAAAAAAAGGGAAATGTTATATATATAATTAATTATAAAAGATAAAATAAATAAATTAATTATATGGTATAAAAGTTAAATTAATAATATATATTTAATAATTATTTATTAATAACTTTATATAAAGTTTTATAATAATATATAAATAAAGTTTATAATATTATGTTTTTAATAATAAAATAAAATTATATAATATTAAAAAAGGTTAAAAAAAGTATAAAAAAAATATATATTTAATAGCTTTTTTTAAAGTCGTATAACCGTGGTAAATTTTTTATAATAATTTAAAAATAAAGTTTACGATATTATAATATTAATAAATAAATGATATATATGTAATGTTAAATGAAAAAGTGTAAAAAAAAAGAAAAAAAAGTTAAATGTTAATAAAATGGTTATTAAATATATAAGTTATTAAAAGATTAATAAATAAGTTAATTAAAGATTAAATTAATAAAAATAAAGTTTACAATATTATAATATTAATAAATTAACGATGTGTGTATAATAATAAAAGATTAAATTAATAAATAAGTTAATTAATTAAATTAATATATAAATTAATTAAAAGTTAAATTAATAAAAACGAAGTTTATAATATTATAATATTAATAAGTAAATAATGTGTATATAATAATGAAAAAAAAGGTGTAAAAAAAAAAAAAAGTTAAATGTTAATAAAATAATTATTATATATATAAGTTGTTAAAAAATTAAATTAATAAATGAGTTTATTTAAAATTAAATTAAGTTAATAAAAGTGAAGTTTACAATATTATAATATTAATAAATAAAAAATATATATATAATAGTAAAAAATTAAATTAATAAATAAGTTATTAAAAATTAAATTAAATTAACGAATGAATTTATTAAAGATTAAATTAATAAATAAAGTTTATAATATCGTAATTTTAATAAATAAATAATATATGTGTAATAATAAAGTAAAAAATGTAATAAATAAAAAAGTTTAAATTTTAAAAAAAAAGTGTTATATATAAAAAAAAAATTACGTTAAATTTATTTTTTATTAAAAAAGTTTAAAAGTTAAAGTTATTATTTTAAATAATATTAATTTAAAGTTATATTTAATTTAATTAATTAATTTATTAAGTTATAAGTTTAAAGCTTTTAATAAAGTGCGTAAATTTTATTTAATTAATTAAATTTTTATAATCGACTTTTTTTTTTATTATTAAAACGTTTTAACGCGTTTTTTCGAAATTTAATTTAATTACGATAACTTTTTATTAATTAATTAACGTAACGTTTACCACCATTTTATTTTTTTATTATAAATAAACGTTTATTAATTAAAAATTTTATTTTATTAATTATTTTATTAATTAAATTACGTATTAATTAATGTTTATAATTAAATAATTTAATTAAATGTATTTTTTTAACTTTATTAAATAAAAGATTTAATTAATTAAATCTTTATTTTATTAGTTTTATTACGTATTAATCCGTGTTTATTAAATTTTAAACCTTTTTTTTTTAATTAAAATTTAAAAGCGAAAATTTTCTTCCGAAAAAATGTAATGTAAATAAACAAGGAAAGTTTTCTTAATAAACTATGTTATAAGTGTTCTTTTTAAATTTAATAACAGGTAATTAACTAATAACAATAACTAGAATAGTTCGTTAAATGCCAAGTCTTTGTTTATAAGTAATTGTGCCACCAATAACACCTTATTGTGTTACCCAAGGGAGCATGATTTCTTTTTTGCTTCTGAATTAAACACTTGGCATTGATGGTATCACTCGATCTAACTCTAATAGATTCGTCTTTCATCCTGTAAAATAGATATCCTAAACCACGGATATCCTTACGAGCTTGTTAAATTCGTCTTGATCTTCGCCAAATCGTCCTTCGAAAATCCCAGTTTATCGGTAACGAATTTCTCGAAGCCGCCGTACTCCTTCTGCACGCCGTCGACAAACGCGTTCCAGCTCGAGGCCCGCAGGTTGATCAGATTGTGGAAGCCCGGCTGCTCCTTGCTCTTCGCATGCGAACCTGCTACCGCGAACTCTAAGAGCATCAACCGAACCGGCTCGGTCCCTATGCGCGATAGCAGGTAGTCTAGGATTATGGTTTCTTGCGACGCGCCCGCGAGGGCTAGCAGAAGCCCGGAGAGCACGCCGGTTCGGTCGCGCCCGGCTAGGAGGTATGCGTTAGTGCGGACTTCATATACATGATATGATTCCCCCTCAACTATAGAAATGTTGTCGTTCGATGGTTAGTAGGGATGGTAATATACGAACCAGTGCAGTGGACTAGGAACGGGTCGCTCGGTCGATCCCTAACATGTTCCAGAATCGCCTTCCAGCTGGGCTGGTACACATCTATGACCTCGAGGTACATTTCGCGGTACCCATCCTCACCCTCGCCGGCAACAAAGCGGTCCAACTCGGGAGTCGAGTCGGGCCGCGAGCTCTCGATCCAGGTGTTCTCGACGCCCTGGAGTGCGGGGTCCGGCGCGCCGGCGTGCTCCTCAGGAGACCGTAGGTCGAAGACGCGCTTGACGCCGAGCTTGCCCTCTAGCACGGCCCGGCCGTTGTCGGTCAGCCGCGCGAGGGCGCCGGACCGGAAGGCAAAGTTAGAGCGGATGGGGCTGCCGGGAACTAGCCCGATGTCCCGCGTGTTGAAGGTGCCGTCGACGAACACGAAGGGCGGGTTCGTGAGAACCGGGATGTACTGCTCCTTGGTGATTTCCTGGGAGACGTCGGTCTCGGAGAGCTTGAGGAGGGCGGCTGCGTCGGCCATGGCTACGGCTACGACTGCGTTACGATTATAAAGCTTAGGCTAGGTAGTTAGTTTGTAAGATGTAGTAACTCGTGATATGTACCTAGGTTGGACCGGGGCAAAGGCAAGTAAAGTGGTATTAGCAAATTCTCTATTAGTTGTTCTTTGCATAGACGACTAAGCAAGAGTAAGGCCAAGTTCTAGGAGCACTAATAAGTATATAAGAGCACTAGGCGCCATCCCCAAGAAAAGGGGGAAACCTAAGCTAATAGAGTTACTATAATATAGCACCTTCCATCTTGGCCGCAAGCTTACTGGCGGGGACCCTGGCATTTAGTATATGTACCTAGCATAGTGTAAATTCTTCAGGGACGCTTTTTATTTTTACCCCGCCCCCGCTTCGCATACAATTGACAATTGACATTTGACAGGTCTGCGGGCAAGTAAAACAACTCTGATAAAACGTTACATCATCCTAACCCTATTCAATATGCGTTTACCCGAGAAGTTACTCAATGGGATTGAAGATATTTCGGTATCTAATCGCACAATATCGGAGCCGTTGTCATGTCGAAATTGAGTTGCATATCACTCCGTCAAAATACTTCGGGTTACTTTAGGTGCCTAGATATACTAGTGACTATGCGTATGGGGTGTTATTAATAGCTACCTAGGGATATAATTAAGACCTTGCTAACGTATCCAGTCTATGTACCTAAGTTAAAACGCCCGTCTCCTAAATAAGACAGTGCTATATCTGATCTGCTAAACTACCTCCTAAACAAGTAATCATGGATTGGTTCCGCCTCCCGCGCCTCGGCCGTGATACTATCTGGATATACTCGTCAGCCGTAATCGTCGCAGTAGCAGGGCTCATCAAGATCCGTCAGGGCGTGGTAGACTACGCTTATACGGAAACGTACTGTTATCAATCCGTGCGCACGAATTCAGTTGTAGAGCCGTACGCTAATTGCTTCTCGGTATCACCGACTGGGAAGTTTTCGAAGGTCTATAAGACCGGAGCCGGTACGGGGCTTGCTCAAAATGCAAGTTCGGGCTTTGCTAGTATGTAACATCTTGTCCTCCTCTATCCCCCCCTTTAGCCTGTTTCGGCACACACACACCGAAGTATTATATTTTATGGGGAATGGTAGCTTACTGACGTTGATATAGTGCCGGGACTGTGGGACGGGCATGGGCACCTTCTACAGTATGGCGAGTTCTTAAACTCGGTAGATCTTTTCGGATCTACTTCTATGGATGACGTTCGGTCTCGTGTACGGAAGTATCTTAGCCAAACCCCCGGGGCTGGGTCGAAGGAGGAGTGGCTAAGAGGCGTTGGATGGGATCAGATGGCTCTTGGGCAGATGCCGACTGCTGTAAGTTTCCCGAGAGTATGACGGTCTTCGTTAACATGCTGACATTCTCGGAGAGTGATCTAGCGGCGGATGAAGAACTAAAGGACCTATACATCATGCTGGATAGAGTAGATGTACATTGCATTTGGGTTTCTCAGGCGGTGCTGGACTTACTCCCGGAGTCTATCCCTGATCTTCCTGGCGGTGAAATCATTAGAGATCCTGGGATGGGCGTGTTCTGTGATAATGCGATGGACATGGTCATGGCATTATGGCCGAAGCCGGACAATAAGAAGAAACAGCAATTCGTAAAGAGCGCCATGGTAAAATTAAATGAAGTAGGGCTCGTGGGTATACATGACGCTGGTGTCACGCCCGGCAACCTAAACCTCTTTAAAGAGTTAGCAGACGGTGCTGACTGGACGGTACGAGTATACGCCATGATAGAGTGTTACGAACGGAATACGTTCTGCCCAAACGAAGTGGAACGGTACACAAGTCCAGATGGGTTTCTAAGTATACAGAGTGTGAAGCTTTTTGCTGGTAAGTTTTACAGAGACTCCCCGTACCTATCGAGTTGATCTAACTTCAAATAGATGGTGCTCTAGGAAGCTGGGGTAGTGCTCTAATCGAACCCTATACCGATCGTCCAGACACATCAGGCTCTCTTCTTGTTAATGCTTCGGAATTAGTATACGACACGATTGCATGGGCCAATGAAGGCTTTCAGGTTAACATACATGCAATTGGCGATCTGGCGAACCGATACGCGATCGACGCCATGGTTGCCTCCCTCAGATTACTATGTCCCAATGAGCCTCTCTCACGCTGCCAGTCCTACCATCGCTTCCGCATCGAGCATTCTCAAATCATCCACCCGGACGACCAGGCTAGAATACACGCAATCGGAATTATCCCTTCTATCCAGCCCACACACGCCACAAGCGATATGGCATATGCGGAGAAGAGACTAGGCAAGGAACGCACCGCGAAGGAAGCATATAGGATGCGCTCGCTTCTAGACGCCAAACTCGTGTTAGGGAGTGACTTCCCCGTCGAGCCACCTAACCCGTTCCAAGGCATCTACGCAGCTGTCACGAGACGGAGTCCGCATACTGGCCGAGGCACGGACGACTCGCCTGACGGGTGGTACGCGGAGGAGGCCCTTGATCTGGATCAGGCGATCCGGGGCTTTACTGAGGGACCCGCGTACGGCGGATTTACGAAGGGCAAGACCGGGGTCATCAAACCCGGGGCCTATGCGGATTGGATTGTTCTAGACGCGCCACTGGAGAGCCTAGATATAGAGGATCTACGATACCTAAGGGTACGGGAGACGTGGGTTGGGGGGAGAAGGGTCTACTCGCGTGACTGATGGATAAGATTAGTAGGATAGATCTTTTTGTTGTTTTATATCATCTGGAGGGAAGAGGGTTAATGAGTCTGTAACGTCTGCTATGATACCTACTATAGATAATTGAACAAGATTTCCATTGATATGTTTTTTACTTTACTTTCAATCAGCGTTGTGTGAAAGTTCGTTTCAAGAGGTAGTAATGCCACTATCACACGTTCCATAACATCAAGGACAACAACTCAAAGAATGCCTTGCCATTACAAATATGCTCAATATTACCCTTAAAAATATTGTAAATATAGAAATCATGAATTTATAGCGTTGGGGTCTGTATAACGTCCGTCTCTTTATTAGGGCTGCATGTAGGGAGCTAAACAAATACCTATAACTATAACTTGGTTCCGTCCCTTCACAATACCCCTTAGTTACCTTAAACCTAGTAGAATTTGCCCTTGAAGCTTTACAAATATACCCCTTTTCCAAGGAAAAAGTAACTGAGAGTTTGGGTTTGGCATAGCTGGCCTTGTGGGACTAGTTGATAGCCCTGCAGTTATCCCCAGTAATGGGAAGTACGTAACGAGGTAAACTTATATAATAAACCTCTTGAAGAAAGGACTCTGCGATATATTAAACGTAAGCTTGATAATTGTGACAAGTGTGGTATCATGTCGTATTCTTTACCAATGTAAAATTGTTAGACCCTTACATAGCCTTGGTGATATTTAGATAAGACGGGATAATTAATTCCTGGATATCAGGCGAGATATGGGGCCGTAGCGTTTTGATCTTAACCCGCTTCATCATTCCGGATTTAAACTTAAGTCCAATAAAATATGCATTTTCATAGGAAACGGACGACAGCATGGCAAACTCTTATGTCCTTCGTAGGTCGGTATTGGCCGGGCAGCGAAGACGCGAAGAACCGATATTTTCGACTCCGTGAACGGTTATATCGTCGTTATTCGGATCTAAAGTCACTATGGCCCCTTAATTATCCCCGTATATAACCCTCCTGACCCCCCTATTAAGTTTTGATCTTTCCCCATGACTATATTGGTCCTAGAAACTAAGCACTGAGAATCGTAGGCGGTATACTTCGTTACAATACCCAGGGTATAGTTAAGATGTCCACTTTCACCAAGCCAAACCGTCCTTTAACGTGGCTCATCACTGGAGCTACATCAGGCTTCGGAGAGTCTCTCTGTCGTCTAGTCTTAGCTGGTGGTCACAAGCTGGTAGCAACGTCCCGCAACCCCTCTCGCAACCCGGGTCTTGCAGCCGAGGTCAAGGCTCGTGGCAACGACAGTCGGTTTATTCAACTCGACGTTGATGACCGAAACAGTGGCCAGATCATGTAAGTGACTCCTTTACTCCTTTCACCCCGGAGCCGTCTCTGTAGGCAAAGCCATACCATCCTTAGCGACTATTTAAGGGGCAGCTGCTGATTTTGAATCACAGTGAATCACTGGAGGCTTCTGGAATCGAAATCGATGTTCTGGTGAATAACGCTGGGTACTGTATCTATGCCCCCGTGGAAACGGCTGCCGAAGAGGAAGTGCGAGCTCTGATGGAAACATTATACTTCGGCCCCGTCAGGCTCGCTCGCGCTGTCCTGCCCCACATGCGCAAGCGCAGGTACGGCGTCATCGTGAATATCAGCAGCGGCGCGGCTCTGGATGGAAGAGATAGCATGGGACCCTATGCTGGAGCCAAGGCTGCACTCGACGGTGAGGCATACCATATTGAATGCTCTCATCCGGAACATGAGCTAACGATGGCGGCTTAGGAATATCTAAAGTCCTTGCGAAGGAGGTTGCCCCGTTTGGGATTCGTGCTCTAACAGTTACCCTTGGGACTTTCAACACGAATTTTGCCAACGCCACTATCGTTGGTAAGAATCCTCTTCCAGACGACTATAAGGGCTCGGTAGCCGAACAAATGATTCAGATTAGTATGTGACATTCGAAGATCCCCCCTTTATTATACACAGACTAGTTAGAATACTAACTTTATCATTGTAGTGTCCAGTGGTAAACTACAGCCAAATGGCGATAAAGATAAGGCAATGAAGGCTCTCTACGAGATCGTTGTTGGCGAAGGCGCCGGGAAGGGCCGCGAAGCTGAACGGCTCCTCCCCTTGGGCCAGGATATGACTCTTCGTTTGAAAGGCCAGTTGGAGTATTTCGGCCACGCCTTAGAAGTTTTCGGAGACGTCACGAACAGTGTTGCCGTAGACAAGAAATGATATATCTGAGAACGACAATGCGTGTAGATATCCTATTAATCGCACTACTTACGTATAAATTTTAGCTCAACTGTTCAACGCTACTCTGTCAATCCTAGGGTTAACGTAAGGGGTTCCCTTCTATACCTCTATACTAATACCTAAGTTGAAATTCGCAAGCTATAATCCCCAAAAGTAGCCTAGACCTTAACTGTGGAGTTTCGGATAACCTGCCGGGCCTGGTCTATATAGAAATCAAGGAACTAAGTCAGGGACTAGTGAATATCCCAGCTACTTAATGTCCCAAACCCTCTCAACTTCAACAAGATGTCAGCCCACGAAAGGAGCGTGTGCATGTTGAGAGGAGGAAACCCAAATCTATGGGTAGTGACTATGAGCCTTATTAAAGGATATCATGAATTGATCCTTACGATCCGGGGACGCATAGGAAAGAGACCACGAAGTCAGGGGTAAGCGAGACGGCGTCTTAGACTATAAGTCGACCAATTCAAATATTCGTATAATCTTATCTGACTCAAGTCAATTTGGTATTAAGCTTAATTAGCCACTACTCATTTTCGAATTACCATAGAGATTAGATATTGGACCTCTGCCTGGCCCGAGGAATGGAGGTACTTGGCCTTATGTAAATAGCTTTTCTTTTGGTGAGGCGGCCACATCGATGTGGTCGTGACAGGTTCCTCATATGGGAAGGGCAACATCTCGTTGACTATATTGAGATGGATTTTTGGTATTTGTAGGAAGTAATTGACTTTTGGGAGTGCGATTAAGTTTGTGAATGAGTGAGGTAATTTATACCTGGTATAAAATTAAGAGTATAGACATATTGAATGTTATGTATTTTGCGAACAGGCTGCCAAGAGAGTATAAGAGTATAAACTTATTAGTTAATACTAGCGGCGTTGCCCGTCCGCTCAAACGCGGACGGGGGAAAGGGGGAAGGGCAGGAGGGCGGGCGATTATGCGCAAAACTGACGCCACAGCTGGTCTGGCCTCTGATTGGCTAGCCACACCTCAGCGCACGTCCGATGAATTTTTTATAGAATCAATTAAACTATTTCAATATTGTATAAAAAGTTTAATGATTAGTATGGTTAGATAGAGCTCGTTTTGCATGACCTTTCTATACTATTTGCACCTCTTGCAGATGTTATGCGATAGAATGGCAAAGGGAAAAGTCGCAAACTGCGGGGCGATTCTAAGCATCTGATTGGTTGAAAAAATTGTGGCAGTACTAATTGAATATATAAGACTTGATTGAATATATAAGACTTGATAAGACTTGATAATCATAAGGTATCAGCAGCAGGGAAACCCGGTATATGATACGAGCAGTAAGAGGATGTAGCTGTATAGTGTCTTACACATTAATTATCGTAGTCATGATAGGGACATTGCAACTATAGAAAAAAGGGCACGAATTGATCTTGAGATATGACGGTTCGATTGTTAGTTAAGTGATAGCCTTAGTCAATTGATATGTCAGTATGTCAGTATGTCTGAAGTCAAACGATTAAATTTGTATTGTGGCCGTAGAAATAATAAGTGTCCAACTGGCGGACTGAAATTGGCAGCTGCCTTGCTTGAGATTCGCCGGCTGGAACGGAATTATCGGAGGCGGATGCCCCAATTCACCGGCCCGCCGTACTAGTAATTATAAGGTTCTGCTAGCAAAGGGGAATTATCGGGGGGGTTATCGCTAACGGAGGAGGATGACGCGCAGGAGCTCTAACCAATTTTTCAGAAGCTTCAGATATATCAGTCTTCCAGATATACCTACCTATCGCATCCGCACCTCCCACGCCGTCTTCTTACCAAGAGATCGTTAACAGCTTTAGCCATGCACAGGCGAGTCGAACAAAATTGCTGGCGACAATCAAAATTACCTAGTTGCTAATGATCATGTAGTAGCTGGTATTCCTAGTCTACCTCCCATTATGCGGTCGCAATTGGCCCGCCATGTCTTGCGACGCATCCTTGCGAGCGAGCCTCCCGTCGCTCTCCTCCCGTGTTTTATCCCCTCGAGACCGGTATTCCGTATACACCCCGTGAAGTACAGAGTTGCGAGGACAACCCAGAGGAGAACATTCATAAAATTATTCCAAAAAGCCCCGCGAGCGCTGAAGGAACTGGACACCGAACCAGGATACGAAACCCTGCTCCGATTTCAAGCTGCAGAGAAAAGTAGTATTCGACCTCCTATGCCTGAGGAGTTAATCAGAGCATGGCGGGAACTATTTGAATATAAGGCCAAATACGGCCGGGTAGTGAACTCGACGCAGGCCTTGTGTGCTCACCGGGTGCTGTTACATCTTCGTACCCTGCCTAACAACAGTGAAGATAAGCAGCTATCCGAAGATGACCTTCGGACGGCCAGGGATTCTTTACTAAAGCCGCCGAGAGACGATTATACGAGTCATCTCGAGCTTTCGAGAGAAATATATGCAGATTTAAGGCAGAGGGGCGCCCACCAGCCCAAAGATTTTTATACCTTGTCGACCGCACTATCACAATATGGGCAAGCTCTCGAGGCGAGGGACCTGGCGTTGGATTACTGCTCTAGAATGAAGAGTAGGGAACCTGTCGATGTCTTGCTAAGACAGTTTATACCTGTGATTCGAGGTCTTGCTAAAGAGGGCCGAGAGCCAGAACTCCTAGACCTCGTTTCGCTGGCAAGTCGACTTGGTCTTGAATACGACCGAACGCTCCACAGCATCATGACCACATTTTTTGCACAGAGGGACAAGATTGGGGAAACAAAATACTGGTTCAATAAGCCGATCGGCAGGAATCTCACCCCGGCTCCTGCGACATACTATGAGATACTCAAATTTGCCCTTCGCAATAACCAGCAAGAATGGGCGTTGGGGATTTACCAAGAGCTCATCTCAAACTTAGAGTCTCCGAAGCTACGTACTAACAAGCCCTGTTGGGATACATCTTACCAGTGGGCAATTTTATTACTTGGGAAAGGAATTGATCATATCGAGCATATGCTTGCAGTTGCTACCGAACACACACGAGACAAGCCCAGTTCACGACCTAATATAGGGACGATAAATGGACTTATTAGGACCGCCATCGACAAGAATGATCCGTATTTAGCCGAACGTTTCATCGCGTTAGCTGGCAAGCTGGGCTTCGAACTAAACTATAAGACTTATATGCTTCAGCTCGAGTATCGTATCCACGCGAACGATCTCGACGGCGCTTTCGCGGCCTATCGGTCCCTCCGCGACCTTGAGGAGACAACTCAGGATAAAGAAGTCTCAGTCCTGAACTTTTTCATTCGTGCCATGTGTTCTGTACCGGAACCCAACCACGAACGCGTTCTGGACGTCACTAGTTACCTCGAACAACGACGTGTCACGCTGGAGCCAGAGACAGTGGTTTCCATTTGTATGGCGTTTTTAAAGAATGACGAGACATATGAAGTAATAGATACCCTATCACTTCATACCGTTCACTATAGTATTGCGGAACGCTCTATGGTTCGGAAGGCCTTCGTGCAATATTGTTTGGATGAGAAGAACAGTACAGCCCGTGTCTGGGACGCATACGCATTATTACGGCAATTCTTCCCCGAACTTGAAGCCGAAGATCGAGAAGCTATCATGAGTGCTTTCTTTGATAGGCGTCGTGCGGACATGGCAGCGCACATATTTGGACATATGCATTCCCACGCAAACCGAGAACTCCAGCCAACTCTAGAGACGTACGTCCGCTTCATGGAAGGTATTGGCAAATGCCCAGACGAAGAAAGTCTAAAATCGGTCCACAACATGCTGAAAATGGACACGACGATCCAGGCCAGCACACGCTTATATAATGCGCTGATGATTGGATATACAGCATGCGACTTACCCTATCGAGCGCTTGATTTCTGGACGGAGATCGCTGCTTCTCCCGAGGGGCCGTCCTATGCTACACTCGAAATTGTGTTCAGGACTTATGAGATTACACCCGATGGCGATAGCCTCGCAAACGAGCTATGGGAAAAGATAAAAAGGATGGATATCGAAGTGCCAGACAGAGTCTACGTAGCGTACGTAGCCACGACGGCTGCGCATGGCCACCTTACAATTGCCAAGATGCTGTTGGAGGATATGGATAATGTCGTTGGAAAGGAGCCCAAGTTTCACAAGTAAGTACACAGATATCAAGTATTGCCATGTATCGATAGTTGACGTTTCCTTAGCCTTGGAACGGTGTTCAATGTTTTACCGTCGCAGGAGATGAAAGACCAATTCGAAGAATGGGCAAAAGAATCCTATCCCCAAGTGTGGGAGGAACTGAAGACAAAGTACGCCAAGAAGCAAAATAGCGAAGGTCTCCCGGTATTTAAGATCCGCCCGCGGCCGTGGAAGGCATGATGTATATGGATTGATCTTGTACAGCACTACTCGTACATCTATCTACCTAGATAGCCTCCTCTGCTGTCTCGTTGTATATAGTCGGATAAGCGTAAAAGACACGCAGATGTCATGTTGTTGTGCAATTCACCCCGCCCATCATCATGAAGACTTGACGTTTCTGTTGACTGTCGCAGAGACTTGCTCGTAGTGTTTGGCGTTCTGCCGGATCAGGATCTCCGGGTGGTGGTGCACGCTGGGGTGGATGCCCAGGCCGATGGCCCGCCGTACGGCCTTGGCCATCTTCCGCTGGTTCGCCGGCCGTAATCCCGTGTCGACTGAGCGCTTTATTCGGCCGTGCGGTGTCATGTATTCTGATATGACGGAGAAGTTCTATGGGGGTTCTTGTTAGTAATTATCTACCTATACCTATATCGACCCAAACATATATGATTCGTCTTCTTCTTCTGCTCTTTTTTCCGTCTTGAAATCTTTTTAGGGTGTGCAACGTACGCGATACATATCCAGCGGTCGCAAACCGAGGATGTCGACTAGGTCCTTCTTGCGGGCTTGTGTCCGGCGCCACTTGGTCATCTCGGCGGAGCTCATGTCGTGCGGGGCATAGACGTCGCCTGCGCGCCAGCGGCGGGGTAGCTGTCGCAGGTAGTCCTCGGCCTTGCTGTTCTGGCGCAGCTCCTCCTCGAGGGCTACGCGCCGCGCGACGGTGGGTTTCAGGCGGTCGTAGATGTCGGCGACGGCGAGGGTGGGGTCGTTGGGGGTGCGTTGGGAGGTAGAGTCGTCGAGGTCGAGGAGGTTGGAGGTTACGCTGGGGAGGTCTCTGCGGACTGGGTTGGAAGGGGATTGGGTTAGCGGCGGTGTGATGGTGCGGTGGCTTTGGGGTCGGTCGACGACTTACTGATCTCGCGTGGGCTGGTGTTTGATATGTTGGCGGTTTGGGATTTGAAGAGAGTGGAGGGTTGCCGTAGGGCGGCGAGGAGGGGTATTCGCGGCGGCATCTTGGGCGATTGATTGATAGATTTATTAATCCTAGGCCTCGGATTTCGAGAACAACCCTTCAATAGAGGTATTCTATCAGATACCTTAGGTTAGGTACTCAATCGCAATCGGATTGTGGAATATCCAATCCAATCTAATCCATGGAATGGAGCACATATAGAAATTTAGTCGGCTAAACAATTATTCCAGCTGCATGTCCCGCGGTACCTAGATACCTCTTATGTATTTCTAATCCCTGTTAATGCACCCCGCCTGCCCGCAAGGTCGTAAACTGCTGCAGGGGTTTGAGCTCTTATCGATCTTCAATGTGGGGCGCAAAAAGTTGCGATTAAAAAAAAGTCGAGCCTCATCAACTCCAGACCTTTGATATACAATAATCCCGTACATCTTTTAAGCGGCCAGAAGACATCATGGTCCGAAAGCTCAAACACCACGAGCAGCGTCTGCTCAGGAAGACAGACTTCATTACCTGGAAACAGGATAATGACCACAGAGATGTTTGTCCCCTCTTATACATCTATTATTACATTAAGACATTTGCTAACTTATGCGCTCGCGATAGGCGGCTGTTATACGACGGTATATGATCCAAAAGCCCGAAGACTATCACAGATACAACAGGATATGCGGTGTAAGTACTCTGAGAGGTAGTCAGATAGCGCAGCAAGGAAAACACATCATCTAACACTTTTTCGCCAATAGTCTCTGCGCCAACTAGCACATCGCCTCAGCTTATTACCGCCGGAGAACCCCGTGAGGAGGAAACACGAAGAGCTTCTCCTGAACAAGCTCTACGACATGGGAATCCTATCATCGGCCTCGAAGCTCTCGAACGTCGAGCACGGCGTTACCGTCTCGGCTATGGCGCGCAGGAGATTACCGGTGGTCATGACGCGTCTGCGAATGGCGGAGACCGTGCAGGCGGCTACGAAGCTCATCGAGCAGGGCCACGTCCGGGTGGGCGTTGAGACTATTACCGACCCTGCTTTCTTCGTCACGAGGAACCTGGAGGACTTTGTGACGTGGGCTGTCGGCAGCAAGATCAAGCGCAACATCATGAAGTACCGCGACAAGCTGGACGACTTCGAGTTGTTGTAATTTAGGATGAGGGTATCTGCATTTTCACGGCGCGGCGTCTAAGGGGGTTACTGTGAAATAGATATGGGCTGATGGGTAGTCTTTTATATCAATTTTTACAATTGGGTTACAATCGTACTTGACTGCTCATTTTGCATATTTCGAAAGAAGTTAAATTAAATGAATCTCGACACTTATTAAGGTATTTAACGACCAACATAAACACCTGTAATGAAGCGGAGGTATTAATTATTCATAATTAGAGTGAGTTTATACTATTCGGTTTTCATATTGAAAGAATTAAGTATGATGAAAGAAGGGTAATGAGGTCAGAGCACGTGCTTACGTGTGGGCTGGTGAGAAGTCAACCCATAAGCCCCACTTTCTTTCATCATGCGCCAAAGGCAATCGCGGTCGCGCGTTTCTACTCTTCTCTATTCTATTTTAATCTGCCTACCACCTTAGTACCTTTAGGTTAGGTACCTAAGATAAATCCATTAATTATGCGCAAGTTCAGCTCATAATGACTTACACATACTACCTTAGGTACCTGATAGTGCAAGAGAATCATGGTCCAGCCTCAAACTTCCATCGTCATTCCAGATGATGAAACGACCGAGTCTTCAGATTCGCCACCTAAGCCACCTTTGACGGCCTCTACTAAACTAGAGACGTCAAACAAGCGCAAGCTTATCACGGATATTCTAGATAGTAAGGTTGAATGGAGTGATGACTCGGACGGTGCCCATGAAAAGTCCAAGAAGCGAAAGAAGAAGAATACCCGAGGAGCATCGCCAACGAAAGGTAAGAAGAAAGCCACTACGAGAGGTCGTCCCCGTAAATCCATTAGATCAGATAAGGTCGCTTCATTACAGAACGACGATAGTGTGTCATCTTCAGACTCGGATGCTCCCGAGGATTCATTACCCCAGTACATACGAGATCGCCGAAAACAGTTTGACCAGACTCGTGAGACGTTACGTGAAGGTGGACTACGACTACCCCCAGACTATTCAGATGTCTACTTTTCCGATGATGAAAGGTTGGCCGACTTGGAGGAGAAACCGCAATTCGACGAGAAGAGCGGCATCAAGCCATGTCGTGCCTATAAAGACATCATCCTTGAGCACTCGGCGGGCATTATTCCAGCTTCTATCGCACAGTATCTTCGGGATTATCAAATCGAAGGAGTCAAGTTTCTTCACTATCTCTTCGTCTATCAGAAAGGCGGGATCCTCGGCGATGACATGGGCTTAGGGAAAACTGTCCAGGTCGCCGCCTTTCTCACTGCTATGTTTGGCAAGACTGGCGACCGTCGTGATGCGAAAAGGATGAGGAAGTTCCGACGGGCGAAGGATAATTGGTACCCCCGTGCCCTAATAATATGCCCCGGATCGCTAATTCAGAATTGGAAGAATGAATTAGACAGATGGGGATGGTGGGAAGTTGATTTGTATCATGGAGCAGGTAGGGATGACGTCCTCGGCGCTGCTAGGGCGGGAAGGCTAGAAATCATGATCACCACCTACACTACATACAAGAATAGCCGTGATCAGGTCAACAGGGTACCCTGGGATGTTGTTGTAGCTGATGAATGCCACTCGATAAAGGATATTGCTGCTGGAATTACACAAGCAATGAACCAGGTCAATTCTCTCTGTAGGATTGGCTTGACGGGGACAGCAATCCAAAACAAGTACGAAGAGCTTTGGACACTTCTAAATTGGACAAATCCTGGGCAATTTGGGACTCTGGGGGAATGGAGGAATACCATCTCAAAGCCATTGACTGTTGGTCAATCTCATGATGCCACTCTACATCAACTAAGCGAAGCTCGGAAGACGGCAAAGAAGCTTCGTTTCAACCTCCTTTCTCGCTTTTTCCTTCGCCGAATGAAGAGCCTAATCGCTCACCAGCTCCCTAAAAAAAGCGACCGAGTAGTGTTCTGTCCGCTTTCCAGCCTCCAGCGCGAAGCCTACGAGAGCTTACTCGATAGCGAGATTGTCTGCTTCGTCCGGTCTGCGTTTGATATCTGCCCATGCGGCTCAGGAGACAAGCGAGGCTGGTGCTGTTTCAAAGCCACCGCTGAAGGAGAATCGTGGAAGTCGCTCATTTTCCCCATCATGATATCGCTGCAAAAGTTATCTAATCATTTCAACCTCCTTATTCCACAGACTTCAGACGTTATGGACAAGCATAGACGAGAACTCCGGTTTCTCCAAGCTGCTGCGCCTCAAACCTGGAAAGAACATTATACCAGTCGAGACTCCCTACTCAACTTAGCCAACCCTGAGTATTGTGGAAAGTGGAAGGTCCTTCGGAAACTCCTGAGGCTTTGGCATAGTAGCGGCGACAAAGTACTGGTCTTCTCACACAGTGTTCGGTTGCTGAAGATCCTGCAGAACTTATTCAATAATACGAGTTACAACCTTAGCTATCTAGACGGGTCACTGAGCTACGAAGAACGCCAACAAGTGGTCGATAACTTCAATTCCGACCCTAATCAGTTTGTATTTTTGATTTCCACCAAAGCTGGCGGCGTTGGGCTCAACATCACATCAGCCAACAAGGTCGTCATAATGGATCCACATTGGAACCCTTCCTACGACCTCCAGGCGCAAGATCGGGCTTATCGTATAGGTCAAGTTCGTGATGTTGAAGTCTACCGCCTCGTCTCTGCAGGTACCATCGAGGAAATCACCTACGCAAGGCAGATCTACAAGCAGCAGCAGGCTAACATTGGATACAATGCTTCCAATGAACGCCGTTATTTCAAAGGAGTTCAACAGGACACGGAACGAAAGGGAGAGATATTCGGAATCCGCAATCTGCTAACATACAGTGGTGACCAAGTCGTCCTCCGAGATATTGTCAACAAGACAAACATTGCCGAAGCAAAGGCGGGTGTCAAACTGATAGATATCGATATAGAAAAAGCGGCTAGAGATGCCGAGGAAGATCAGTTCGTCAAGAAAGAAGAAAATGCCGATGACGACGAGACAGGGGGTCTCAAGCAGCTATCTACTCTCTTTACTAAGGATGATAATAAAGATGGCATCTTGAAATCAGCAGGAACGCATAAGCCTAAACATTTCGATCCCATCCAAGCAATACTCGCCTCCGAGGGCGTCGAATATACTCACGAGAACTCTGAAGTGGTCGGCTCGTCCAAAGTGGAAGATGAACTGTCCCGACAGGCAGAGCTAGCAGCAAGCCAAGACCCAGACTGTACCCTCTTCTTCGATAGCCAAGGGCTCTCGGCCGCCCAGCAATCGTTCGAGTACGAGTACAACCCTCCGGTAGAAGTTAGGCAGCGCCAATTTTGTACGATGGCGAAGATGTTTGGGTTTCCCAGTGTGACGGAATTCGCATTAGCAGTGGAGAGCATGACGCAGGAGGAACGGCGGAATTGCTTGGAACTGTTTTACAAAAGGCGCGGCGAGAAACTGAAGGAGCTAGGTGAAGTTGTCGAGGATAATGCAGAGCCGAAGGAGGAGCCTAGGGTAAAAAATGATGTGGAGATGGTTGACGCGAAAACTGAGGATATCAAGCCTGCCCTAGAGGTTAAGCCTGTCCTGGGGGATATTAAACCTACTCTAGAGGATGTTAGGGGCAATACGGATACGAAAGACGTCAAGATTGAGGAGTTCAAGCCGAGTACGCCAGTTATAAAGCAGGAGATAAAAGAGGCTGGCCCTCTTACCCCCGACGTAAAGAAGGTCAAGAAGGAGGACTCGCCAGAAAAGAGCAAGAGAGTGTCTACATCTATTTGGATCTCGGACGACGAGGAGACGGACGAGCTATGAGTTTTTCATCCAATGCCGCACGGTTTTTTGGTGAGGGTCTAGGTTAGGCGTTTGGGTGTTTGAGTGTTTAGGCGTAATACCTAGAAGGGTATTTTTGTCTTAGAATATATGTAGTTTCACAGCTACGATCTTCAGCGGATCCGATACCCCTTAGAATTTATCTCGTCTATAGGTAGATAGTTCAGCCACAAGTACAATACCTCAGTCATTAGCGCAGCTTCAGAATGGCTTATAGCACAAAGAATTAGGTACCTGCGTTGTCTCACCTAAAGGTACCTGTCTTAGCTTCAATGTACCTATGTACTCTTCTTCGATAACGCGTCCCCCTTACAGTCGCACAATCGGTATAAAACGTTTTACAGGTACCTAATTTACAAGATCTATTGTCCCACCTTGTGTATTTACTCAAATTTTTATGTATTCACCAGGCTGTCAGGTATATTTTTATGACCATTTGTCTGCATTGTGTTGAATAAAGGCCTTGTTCGTCGGTTGCTGCGCCATCGTGCAGTCAGCCCCTTTCTATCGTTTAGCCAGCCAAAGTTAGAAAAAGGCCGGGCGCGTCCAGGAACATTCCAACAACATTTCACGGCTTCTCTTACTTCTACTCCACCAGTCGTCTTCGTAAAGGTGGAAAAGTTATTTTAACTTACTTACATGGATACGTCTTCGCGTCTACGGTTTATCCTAATTTCCCAGTCGCCCTAGAGACGTCATCTTCGTCATACCCGCTCGCCTGTGGAACCTATCATCATCAACCCTTGATCGGCTGTGTACGGAATACGAGCCACTCCATTTTCCAGATTTCCAGAAAAGGGATCGCACTTCACAACAATTTGACGTCTACACTCGTTCAACCTACACACCATCAAGATCAGAAATAATGATTTCATTCGTTCAAGCCTTGTTATTTACAACAGCTACAGGCGCTGCCCTGCGGCCAAGGCAAGCCAATAATGGCTGCTGCTTCCAGCTCGCCTCGGTGGGAATGGTCAACGAGACTGTTCTAGAGGACCATGTCGGCGATTTGCTTCTTGGCGGTACTTTTCAGCAAGGCGGATTCTGTCTAGATAAGACGACCAAAACCATACAAGATAGTCTAAGGCATAACTGCTTCATGAGAGCCCCAGACTATCAATTCGAATGCTATCAAGGCGCTGTTGGGACTACAGCATTCGATATCGCACCCCCAAAGGCAGATGGGAAGTCGTATCTCACATACGATGATAGTCCTGGAGTCTTCTACGCGTGTCCTATTGACTCCGAAAGCTACGACATCTACTCCTCGGATAAAGCTGATAAGACTGGATGTGTGTCGGTTGCATTAGCACTCGTCGATGAGACAGCTGCTTGCTCCGCTACTACTAGCAACTCTACCCTCTCAATACGGTCCAAGCCACTACACCGGATACCACTCCCAACCCGGCCACTACGACGCCAGTCATCGCGTCAATCATGCACCATAGATGCATCAGCACCCTCACTTGCACCTTACCAACTACATCATAACAACTCGTCCGTCTCAAGCGGAAGCAATGATACCTCAGCCGAAGTCGTAATCAGCCGAAACTACAGCACTGTATTCGACTACGACATCCCAGACACTTTCCCTCCCGCCAATACCGCAGGAGAGTCCTCACTATGTGCTCTGCAATTCCGTATGCCGGTCTGCACTACTCTCCCCAAGGGTTATCCCTGCTATAGCTTTAGCGGTCTGGAGCAGGAGGTCCTATCCAACTCCGGTATGACGTTCCACCTTGTGGACGACGACGGCAACGCCACGTGGAACAGCACAGAGCTGCACCAAGTGTTCCCCGGGGAGAACACCACCATCGGCACTTTCGAGTGCGGGCAGGCAGCCGGCTACGGCGAGTCGCGGAAGATGAGCTGGCACGTCAGCAGCGTTAGAGATTTCTCTCTTGAGTTCCTCCAAGCGGGCGTCGGCCAATCCGCCCAATTCCAAAACGGGGTCGGCGCGTGGATCGTACCGTGCCAGTAGTCCAGTCCCCTTTCCATCTTTCTTAGCAGCAATCGCTTGCTCCTCTCTTGGCATAGATAGAAATACTTTAATGTCTGATAAAAAGTGTGAGGATTTGGGGGATATACCATGATTAGAGGCAAGGGAATACCATAACGGAGAAATTGACGCTGGAAGATAATAATGTGCGACAGAGATTGATCGGTAATGATAATGGACTTGGTGGCTTATGTGTTTGTTACATGAGGTCTATCGAAAGGACATAGAGTGCTTACTTAGGTAGGTAGTTATAGATATACGGAAGAGTAATAAATGTATATGCATATTAGAACAACTTTCGCGCCATTACTATTTTATTGTATTGGTAGGGGGGCATTATATCACGGGGTTAAAGCCTCTGACTTACTACCCAGCCGCTATCTTTTCAAGTTTTCCCTATACTCTCGATATGGTCATGCTATAGCTTAGAACATAAAAATAGCACGTCTATGAGGGTTAAATTATAAAGAAAGTTCTCTCTGCTTCATAAGTTCCTATCTAGTAATGAGTGATTTCTAATCTATTATACGTGATATGTTCTTTCCGTGAGAAATATATATGGTAATATTAATGTACTCGGGATAAAATATGACTTATTCGTTTTTCTCGGCCTTCGTGATTGCCACCCACATGTTCGACTGGAAATATACGAAGTATAAATTTTCATCCCAGCCTTTGCCAGGATTGACTATTTGGAAATCGAATACACGAAGAAACTAAATTGAAGATGATCGGCACATGTTAGGTAGGTATACGTCGTAGAGAAGAGAGGCGGGAACAGAGGCACGAGTAGGTGGGTATAAGAAAGTTCTCCAACTAACCTCGAAGAAAACTTTGTGAAGCTCTATCATAACAATGGGCTTCCCAGCACACGTCCATCGGCCGTTACCGAAGATAATGTCTATTGTAAAGGCTCTTTCGGCCTTGGTTTTTTCATCACCTTCGAGGAAACGCTCTGGCCGGAACACCTCGACGTCTTCACCGAAGATGGCCTTGCTGCGAGTCATGGCGATGGAGTTGTGGCCGATCGCAGTACCGCCAGGAATGAAAATCCCGTTAATCACGTCCCCTTCTGGTGGAGTTTTCTTGTCTCCTAGGTGTTAGTAATTTGTGCTGGACATGGCAATATATACTTACAATGTCCGTATGGCGCGGGGCTTCGCATTCGAATGCCTTCTAGGATGATTGCCTATTAAATGATAATTAGATCAGCCTTGTATAATAGCACGGGCCTGGCCAAATGAAATGAACTATACATACCTTCAGGTAGGGCAGCTTTTGGGCCTCCTCGTATGTGATAGGGGTAGATACTTCGTTGCGCTCCACGCACTGTCTGATCATTGTCTTAAGCCGGGAGTATACCCGAGGCGTAGCTACGATATACATCAGCGTGGTACGAATAGCTACCGCGGTTGTATCCGCCCCAGCTAGAATTTGAAGCATGGCTTCGCTCCTGCATTCATCCTCCGTCATGCCGTGGCGAATAAACGACCCCTAATATTATCACTGAGCGAGAGAACTAGTTACTTGAGTGTACAACTTTACCATCATATCGTCCGGAGGGTTCGCATCTTTGAATCTTTCTCCGATAATCTTTTGCGTGATCCTAGGTAGTATATAATGTAAGATATGCCATCGGGATGGATGTCGACAGTCCCAACTTACCCCATCACCTTCCCAATGCCCTTCTCGTCAGTTGGCTTTGGACCGAACAATGCGTGGAAGGGACGGGAAAATATGATGTGCTTAAGAAACGGAACCTCTTGGCAAAGGTTCCGCGTCTTTAGCGCCTTGTCTATCCGGATCGTGTATTCGTATAGATCCCCATCGGCATCTAAGAAGCCAAACGCCTGGCCGTACGCAAGCCGGGTGATTATATCTAGGGTAAAATAACGGGACAAAGAAGCGAAATCAACAGGACGGGTTTCAGACCCCGACAGGTACTTGCGCCGGACGACGTCGACGCAGTGAGCGATCTGGGAATCAATCGCATATTCGAGATCGGCATTCTCTCGCCCGTTGTACCCTTTAAGAGCCTTTGCTTTACGCTGATCGTGCGCACTGTTCCCGAGTATAGTAACCATGGTCCTGTGTTCTGGAGCAAACCTGATTGTTTCATACCACTCATCTTTGCCGTAGTTACTTCTGGCTGATGCAATCCGGCGAAGGATCTCTGGATCGCTGGTCAAGATATAATTGGGCGCCACCCGTACTACGGTCCCGTACTTCGTTCCGAGCCCGCTGAAGTCATTCTGGATCGTACCGAAGACTATGCTTTTCGCTACCCAGAGGTGAGATAACGAGGCAAGGAATGGGCCGGGGACGTGTCGAAGTCGATACCATGCCACGATGGTCGTAATAATATACCATACCGAAAACAAAGACGCGAAACCCACGCATGCCCCAACCAGGCTCGGAGGGCTTATTTTATCGATAGAAAGCAATGTCATGTTAATAGTTTAGAGAAATTGCCTCGAGTATACTTTAGAAGATCGTGAAGGAACAATTATAATTATCGGAAGAGGCCGGTTTCTATAGGTAATACGAGATGGAACAGCTCGCTGCAAGGAGGAAGAGGACATTACTTTCCATCTCTTCCTAAGTTGGTAATAATCAAGATAGATATAGACAGGTAGTTGGAGGCTATAAAACGATTGCATGTATAATACTATGTTGCAAGTCGCCGAATGCGAACTACCTATCACATCTTCAATCCGTTGCTGATCCCCTTAAACCAAGCTCTTGGCAAAGGTTGAGGCGTCGGTGGCTAATATCCAATGACACATATATATTTTTACGTGTGATGTCACTGCGACCGTTGTACGACGACACGCTTAGTTTTTGGCTTACTCTCGATCTTGCTCGGTATAGCATTGGGGTAACCTTCACAGCAACATATACGCCAGTATGTCGTGTTAGCATCTGGAATATGCATGTGTACCTATGTAGCACCGTCACTTTCTACTAGGTAGCCCACCAATGAAAAAATCATAATAATAATGAGATAGTCGGTTAGGTATATCTGATCTACCTATCCTCTGTATAACCCCAAGGAGAAAAAAATAAGAAAAAAAAATACTTATACTACATGATTTTTCACCGGTCCAAAATTCAATCCTTACCTAGGTAGGTATTTCCCAGGCGTGGTGTAAGTAACTTGTTATAGTGTATCTGCCCTCATGCACCGTATCGTCAATGTAGGTGAGTAATTCGGTAAGCTGTTCGATGAAATACAGATGCCAATGTCATAGTTACTAGAAAAGTGCTGAAACAGTAATACTAGAATGCGCATATTCTCCGTAGGTCCTTCGGATATCGACGGGTGGTGCGCTCAACCTCTCAACATATTCCTGTTTCCTCTAGACCATGCATTCATTAGGCTATGTTGTGTTCGATCAGAGCAGGTCTTGTACAACTAGGTGGCTGGCTGTACAAGAGGCGAGAGGCAGGTATACGCGATCTTCGCATTGCTAATTGATTGAGGCCAATGATTTCATTTATCCATTAATATTAGAGTAACCTTGGTTTAGCATCGAATATATTGCAGGTATTAACCCCTATACACATATTTCATGCCAACCATTCCATCATACCAGTTTACTCCTTTCCACGCCAGAGCTGGGATTCGTAACTTCATCATCCCGTCTACATGTCCGACTTCATAATGTACCCAGACCTTATAATCTCTAACCGCGCACATCATACCCATTCCCCTTCTCCAGCGCCCTCTTCCACGCCGGCCTACTAGCGCACCTAGCATGCCACTCCTTGACGCGGGGGTACTTCTCGAAATCCACCCACTGCGACTGGAACGCCCAGTCGACGTACCACATGAGCGCGAAGTCCGCACGCGTCGGCCCCTCCGTACCCATGAAGAACGCGCGCGCAATAGTAGTCTTCCCCCCATCCTCATCGCCATCCTTCTTATCCTCCTCGAGCTGCGCATCCAGAAACCCAAACACCGTAGCCAGCTCGCCGTCCAAGAAAGCGCGGTCGAGAAAGTAGCGCAAGGCGCGGACCAACGGGCGCGCGAAGAAGGGCGTCTGCGCGACCAGCTGCCCGAACACCAACTTGAGGAGCAGCAGGGGATTGAGGGTGGCGCCGCCCAGCGAAACCAGCTGCTCCTCGCGCACGGCGTCGTCGTCGTAGGGAGACGAGGCCGGGGGCGAGGGCGGGGGTAGTCGGAACGGCGCGCCTGCGTCGTCGTACGTGTTGATAAGCCAGAGGGTGATGGCGCTGCGCTCCGTGATCAGACGGCCCGAGGGCGTGACTAGCGTTGGCGATTTGCCGAGGGGGTGGAGCGCGTGCAAGGCCGGGGGCGAGCGCTTGTTTACGCGGTTATGGAGTACGAGGTTGTACTCGATGCCCATTTCCTCGAGTAGCCATAGTATTAGATGAGACTGGGAGTCCTATATGTTTCATTTTTATTAGTCTTCTGAGTGCTCACTACTTATAGCATACCTAGGTACCTAGGTACGTAAGGTAACATAGTGAACTGACCTCCAAATGGTGGAGTGTAGGCTTGTTATCGGCCATATTCGTCGTTTATTAGTAGCGTAGGATACTCTTATTTTCTAGAACGAAGCCTTGAGCATAGATTCTTATACTATGTAAGGAAGTCAATTCTCCAGTAATTGATTACGTGATCGAATCCTTTATTATACTCCATAGGTCTCGTGTCTTAGCCAATCAAAGTCGTGTTTATACCGCATTTAAGAGTATTGATTACCTAGGTAGGTAGGCACATAGCTGAGGCGGGGATCAGCTTAGCCTTATGTTAACCCCGTCATCTTCCGCTTCCGATATAAAATCATCGTGACGTCTAAGCTCATGAAATTGAATGCAACACTAGCACTAATGAATCTAGTAATGCGGCTCCTCCAGCCAGAGCCAGCAAGATATACTCCAAACGCCGAACATTGCCACCTATAAGGAACACAATTGCCTTGCCTTCATCGTAACCCGCGACGACCGAACAAATAAGCGAGACATCACTCAAATACTGCCGAATCAGGAAGTCTTTTGCCTCTTGGGATCAACTCCTCCACCTCCTCCGCCCTGGACCGAGCCATTTGAGGTAACTTCCGTCAGCGGCGCCCTATTACCAGGTTCGGGTCCTGAAGGAGCCGGTCGTTTCACCGTTAACGGTCGATACTGACCTCTATTCCCTAACGGACTGCCTGAACTGCCCGGAGCACCGATCTGTCTCGCATGATTTAGCGCGGGATTCCCAACGCCCCCCATACTTGGCCTACCAGGACCGGATCCACCCCCGCTCGTAAAGCCGCCACCGGCCGGAGCACCAGCTGGACCACGCTGTTGCTCTTGCTCTCTTTTGACGGGGGCGACATGCTGGCCGGTCCTGGACACTGGCTTGGACGAGCTGTGGTCTATGCCCGGCGTCTTCCGAATCGAGGGACTATCTAGTCGAGGATCGAATGGCTTTACGCCCTGTGCCGCGATGATAGCAGCGTCTGGGGGTGCGTCTTCTGGTAGCTTCTTGATCGACCGAGCCGAGAAGAACGAGACTTCTGTCGGCGCCGCACTGTTCGGCGGGGGTGTACTTATTCTATTGCTAGCTGCTGTGCTAGCTGCTGCTTGTTGAACTTGGTTATTAATATGGGGAGTGGGTCTGGGGTATTGTTGTGGATTAGGACGGCCTTGGAAGGTAGCCCCTGGCCGTTGCGGTGGTTGGTTAGGGGTCTGGGGCTGTCTTGGGGGTTGAGCAGCTGGTTTCGGGGGCGGCTGCATGGCCTTGGGTGCATTATTTGCAGATGGTGTATTGCGATCACCGCTACTACCAGTAGGTAAAGTTTGGGACTTCTCATTTGAACTCGTTGCATGAGAACCAGGTAGCACTACCTCATCAGGGTGGTCCTCATTTGTAACGTTAAAGTCGGCGATATCAAAATCCCCAAAGTCCTCGTCCAGTAAGTCCGGAACTACAAATCCAAAATATCAGCATCTGTCCAGTCGATGCCGTCAGAGTCAAACCCACCATGCGCAGTCATCTCAACGTTCTTGTCCGTGGTATTCTTCGGCTCCACCTTCACAACATTCGGCTCCTTCTTGGCGAAATCGGAATGACGATGTAGATTTTCCTCATCAAACTTGACCGGGCCAACCTTCATCTTTGTGACCTTGGATAGATAATCCTTATCGTAGATACAATTGCCAAGGACATTACCAAAGTTCCGCAACGCGCGTTTCAAGGCATCCGTGGTCCCCTCTTTCTTTGCCTTCTCAAAGGCCGCCGCCTTTCCCTTGCAGTTCTCTATATGCCCATACCCGATATCCTCGTGGTAGGTACCATCCCGTAGTGTTACTCGAACGATAACAGATAGACCGAGAGATATCTTGAAGGTTTGCGGATTCTCGTCGACGAAATCAACCTGGATATTCTGAATGCTAGACGACCATCCATTGAAGCCGAATACCTCATTGGCGAGAGCGATGCATTTCTCAGCGGCGATATAGTGAACTTTCTGGCCGGATGGGCCACTGCGCGCGGAAAGGTATTCGGGACCAAGCTGCTTCTCTAACCTTGACTGTAGTGTAGCGATTTCGGCAGCGGTGTATTCAGAGATGCGGGGTTTGGCCTCCTCGAAAGGATTGACGATGCCGTTGTGCTGGTCACCCGGACTAGACGCAACGTTAGCTCAGACGCGTTCGAGGGTAAATGGGAAGAAGGAAAACGTACGCTGGCATCGTGGCAGAATTACTAATGCGGAATAAGTATCATCGAACTCGTAACGGTGCTTCAGCACGCTGCTAGAAGCAAATACAAAATATAGATGAGACAAGTACCTAAATAGAGGGACTCTGTAGGCAGATGTACGCAGATATTACGTGCAATGCGCGATGATTGAACCGAATCCTGAAGAAGGATAGAATTACTTTCCCCACTCTTAATCACATCACATACACTACCTTACGTAATGTATACCTTAGGTAATGTACATGATGGCGCGTAGGCAGACGCCAGATCACCTGACCCACTACCCACTACCTACGTCAAGTACGAAGATACCTTAAGTCACGCTTACTTATCATTAAACTCCACAAACATTCATCCACCTCTCGTTATCATCGTAGAGTTATCTAACCTACCTAGGGTATAATCGAACAATAGCATCTTTGATGACATTTCTGACTTCTTTGACCAAACTTGAGGCAGTTAATAAACTTATCACCTTCCTTTCTAAGACGTAAAGAAAAAAAGAAACGCATGCTACTCCGCCTTGACATAACCCGATACCGAAAGGCCTGCCGATTATATATGTACACCTCAATGAGGAAAGCAGCAAAAAAATATTCGCTATATCGCGTTGAATAGGCCCCGCCGAGGATTGAACTCAGGTCTCAGGAAAGCTTGATTGATAGTAATCAAAATCCTGCGTGCTATTTCTATTGTTAGTGACCTAGCTCAAGACAAGCAGGTATTTTGAGAGAGACATACCTAACCACTACACTACGCGGCCGTGTTTATCTTGTGGTGCCAAGACATTGCACTTAGCCCTTAGTTTGCCTTTTAGCTTGCAACGTGAGTTGCTTGATGGAGCATCCCATTTTGAATAGCGGAGATAAATCGGGTATTCACTACTTACATTTCGTTTAACTAGGCCACAGAAAATTTTGCTCCCAAGTTTTCATTGGAGGCAGGGAGGGTGGCTATACGACCACCTATGTTATTAGTTCTCAGTTCTTGTTCTCTTTATCACATTATTAGCTAACACGTTCATTCACATGAGGTTTTCAAAAGGTTCAAACTAAGCCTCTTATAATGCCATTGTTTGTCTTCTCACACCTCTAGGAGGGGATAACTTTTATTTATCTAAACAATGAATTTCATTATGACTAAAAGTAAACAGGAAAACTTGTTGAACTATGCATATCAGGATATCAGTCAGTGTTTCGACTACCCGAAGATCGAAGAGATACTTGGTTATAAAATTCGTATGAATGAATCGACTTCAGGTGAGGCTGTTATGGAAGACTTGAATCATTCAGCCCTTTCGCCACGCACGAGTTTTGCGAGCCAGTCTGGCATTTTTGGTGTCGGTCTAACAGGCTTAACAGGCTCAGCCGGCTCAACCGGTCCAGTTCCTGGTTCGGGTATCGGCCAAGGTCGTGGCGGAAGTGCCCATTTTGGTGTTTGCGGTGGTGTTTCCGGTGCCACTGGTGCCACTGGCGTTACTGGCGTTACTGGCTTTGGTGGCTTTGGTGGCTCCGGCGTCTTTAGTAGCTTAGTCTGAAGCCGCTTGAAATCTGGCTCGTCTTCGATTGGTGTATAGAATCCAAGCCTCAACTCCTCTTTGCTCCCCGCTTCCCTCTTTCGTTTTCTCTCTTCGTAGTCTTTACGGTCTATCTCTGCCTTTCTGATGATATCCTTTCTCTCCTCGATCATCGCCTTTCTCTTCTCGTTGATTTCCTGAAGCCGCTTTCTCTTGGCCCTTTCCTCTCTGGCCGCTTGAAGTCTTTTCTCCTGTCTTTCAGCTACTCTCCTTTCGATTTCTTTTTTCGGGAGCTTGTTCTTCTTTTCCTCTGGCGTTCCCACGGCTGCGTAGAAGTTGTCACGATACTGGTTCAAATAATTGAAATACCGATCCAGGATCGCCTTACCGTCAACGCGCTTTCCATCAATTGTGGTGGCACTATTTATGGTTTGCTCAAGTTCTTCTGTTAGAATCTTACGAACCTCCTCGTCCGCTTCAAAAAACGGATCCGAGGGATTTGCCATTGGGTCGAATTCCACATCGGAGGCGCTGCCTTTCCATTTGCCCACCGGGACACCGCGATTGTCGGCAATTTCCCTCCACATCTTTATTCTTTTCTCCAATCCCTGGAGTTCCTTCGTGAGGCATTCGTAGGTCTTTGTCAAGTTCGAAAATGGCACCCCGAGAAGGTCGAATGAAGTTCGAGAGAGCAGTCCTAAATATGAAATATGAAGAGTAGCTGTGAGCGCGATTTTAGCGAGGGCCATGGCAGCTTCGGCCGCCTCGACGGCTCTCTTCAGGTGCGTGATGAAGTGATTGCTGAACTGCAATGGGGTTCCGTCAGGCAGCAAGCCTTCTCTAATCGCTAACCCCCAGTCTTCGACTTCGATGAGGGCCCACTGAGCGTCAAACGCTTTTCTGTTCGCTTCATTTATCTCTTTCTGCTTTTGCGCCTTCAACTCTTCGAGCCCAACTTCTTCAATCTCAGAGACTCTCCGGCGGATATTTCCCGCCAATGTCGAAGCTACGAGGAGCTCACCGTGCTTCCGTTTTTTCGCATCTTCCAGCGAAAGCCGTTCGATGGCTTTCCAATCATCCTCTTCACCACTGTGGGCGTCTGAGCTGAGCTCATCGTCGTCAGGTATTCCGTATTGTGTTCCATAAACTCTCTTATGCTCGTGGGTAGACATCTCGAGCGATTTTCTTGTCAAGTAATATGGTTAATAAGTTGTTAATGTGTTAAATTAAAAAGATAAGTGTTGGTTGAGTGATTCTGTTGGAGTAGATGATGGTGATGAGATGAATGATATCGTGGAATTTTGGGCTGCCGTCCTACGCCATTAAATACACTTCCCGATACAACAAGTGAAAGCTTGACAATATTGTTGTGTCAAAACGATAAATAAACAAGCGAGGTGTTTCTAGTACAATTCTTTAGAAATGAAAGCAGAGAGTAGCCAATGGAAACAAGTAGTGTCTATTATTCCAAGCATGATCTTATTCAAGAACAATGTACAAGAAAGAAGTTGTTTCCAGACTCAACTATTATGGATATCTCAATTAAAGCATAGTATTGTAGTGCAACTAAGCAGCGTGCAATAATATAGTCATTTTTAGGGAGAACTACAGTTTAAGATCGGTCGGAATTATTGGCATAGGTATCTGCGTTTTCGATGGTTTGATATTAACCAGGTATTCTAGATTTTAGGAACTTAATGTTAGGATGTAGGTATATAAGGATGAATATTCGGATTTGGGGATTGCGGTTTTACGTTTGAATAATAGAGATTGGCGACCTTGAGAACATAGCCATTTTCGGGGATTCATTGCATAGAAATTCTCTACTCTGGCATATATCAAACCCTGATAGTTACTATTAACTAATTCAAAATGTTTGAACAGCGTTATTTATTACGCACCAAAGTTAAAATTGGAAAGCATTAGCGACGTTTGTTCCTATTTCTCTTTACTCTTTCTTATGCATTATGAACACATACGCAATTTTCAGAACTTCCCTTTTCATCGTATCCGGAGACATACTAGCCAATAGGACTACTTCCTACCCGTAGTTGTGCATTTCATCGGACTTATGTGGGGAAATATTTATCTCCGCTGACCTTGGATCTGTTACTCGTAGCAATAGCCAGTGGCGAACTATCACTTTCTACTGTATTGTTGCAAGGCCACTTGAATAGGAAATAGATATGAAGGCTCGGCGTTCGAAGATGAATGGTCAGATGGTTGAGCAACAGCTACTATCAGATAAGGAAGGCTTGGCTTGAACAACTATGCCATAACCAAATGTATCGCCAAGTTACCTAGGTTAGTTAATTAATTTTACTTGGTTGTTTATTTTAACATTGTATAGGTACCTAGGTAGTTGAAAAGGGTTTATTATATCTATTAAAGCCATGATGTATGTTTCTATTCAAAGCGGAACTACTTATTCATAGTTGTAACTAGGTAGTCATTTTTAACTTGATAGAACCGTAGTTGCTTGCCCAGGTACTCACCCATGCTCCACCATGGCTGTTCAAAGCGCATTTCGGCCAAGCCCCGAGGCATGCAACAATATTACATAGTGGAGATAGTTGCTCGAAGGAGTTAACAAAATGCCAACATCACTTAGTTGTTTTGACCAGATATAGAAACTCCCTTAAGTATTTGACTTCATTACACGCTTTAATAAGTTGGTTTAGACTTGACAAGTGTTTCGGATATTACGGGAACTATCCCATCTTATACTCTATTACTGCATTATTGCAATGCGAGTTGGTTGATGTGTCATTTCTCTAGGGAATATCTCCGTCTGTGCCGTTGGACGTCTATCCAGCACATATGCGCCAAGCTCGTTTGAAACAAGGCCTCGCAAGCCCAGGTTGGAATTGTTGGTATATCCCGGTATTGAGTAACCCATGGTAAGAAAGAGAGTTCTTGCATACTTACTCGCAGAAGGCGATGGGGATTTTCAACTTGGCGCGGAGTTTAGGAGATCTTACTAGAGCGATTTCCGATTATGTCCCTCTTTGCTTCTCTATATAAGGTCTACGGTGAAAGTGTAGTTACATCTCTTTTCTATAGCAACTCACACCCACTATCGTTTCTTCTTGCAACACCAGAATCTTAAGAAACATTGTTTCGCCATATATAAATACGTCATCATGGAGACTACAAGTTTGTTTCGAGTTGACGGCATGATAGCTGTTGTTACGGGAGGTGCTACTGGTAAGAAACTCGTAGCCAAACATTTATTTCGATCTAATGTGCCATAGGTCTTGGTTTTATGATGGCCAAGGCTCTTGCAGGAGCAGGAGCGAAAAAGGTCTATATACTTGGGAGACGAAAGGCTGTTCTTGAGAGTGCAGCTGCTCACCACCCAAGTTTCGTCCCTATAGTATGCGACATCACTTCTAAATCATCGCTCCAATCTGCTGTCGAATTCATAAAAAACGACGTGGGCTACATCAATCTCCTTGTAGCCAACTCGGGAGTTATAGGTCCTATTAATTCCTTCAACCCGGACTTCACAATTCAACAACTTCAAAAGAATCTGTTTGAGGAAGTCTCGATGGAAGATTTTACAAACACGTTCCACGTAAACGTTACCGCAACATATTTTACATTGATAGCTTTCCTAGAGCTCCTTGATGCTGGAAACAAGAATGCCTTGAAGGGAGGTTTTGGAGCCCCGGCCCAAGCCGGTAGCAATGTCCTTTCGATCCCTAGTCAAGCCATTGTTACAGGGAGTTTGTCTGGTTTTAGCCGTGACAGACTTTCCTCACCCGCGTATGCTGGAAGCAAATCCGCCATAGGCCACCTTGCCAAACACGCCAGCACAAATCTTGCCCAATATGAGATCAGGGTGAACGCACTTGCGCCCGGCTGTAAGTCATTGAAATCAGATAATACTTGCGCTATCTAATAAGGATCTGGTGGCTGATCTCATCCTATCTAGTATTCCCGAGCGAACTGGCCAATGATTTCCTCGTTGGAAGAGACCCAAGTTCAGAGCCTCTCGACCAGATGGGTGCCATTCCGTCCAGGCGGTTTGGCAGCGAAGAGGACATGGGAGGAAGCTTGCTATATCTTGCTAGTCGAGCAGGTTCTTACTGCAATGGTTTAATTCTTACGATTGAGGGAGGCAGGCTGTCAGTGACCACTTCCACTTATTAGGAGTCTGGAGTCTCAGGGTGAGCGTGGTTACATGGTTGTGACTAGACGAAGTTAGTAGACAAACATTCAAATGACTATTAGCAAGACCATGAATCCATAGGAATACTCAGGTTCTAGTGTTGTGGAAGAATATAAATGCTTAATACCGACCTTTGAACCAATCAGATGAAGCGGGGATATTCCTGCTCTTATCTTTTCCCGTCCAAGGGCGTGTAACTCAGTGGTAGAGTGCTCGCTTCGCATCTTTCAGTGCTGAAATTGCGAGAAGTCCAGGGTTCAACTCCCTGCTCGTCCAATAGATTTTTTTTAGGTAATACTTATGTTGGTCTGAAATATTTATTTTTTTGTGTCCCGGTGTTCCGTATGTGGAGTTTCTAACAACTCGCTTCAAGGGCTAAACTAAAACTAGGACGGAAAACTCCTTTTGGAATAGATAGAAAATCGAAAGCGGGGCAATCTAAAGCAACTGCATGCAAATTTGTAAGAGATGCAAAAACGCCTCATTGGCACATAAATTAATTGTCGGTCATACTGTGTCAGGAGTGGGAGTGGTTTTTACATAGTACTCAGGACATAATGTATGCTAGCTAGAATTCCCTTCTATTATTAAGAAGGGCCTTACTCACTCCAGAAGCATCCCGAAACGTGCATGTATATCCGTGCGCTCGGGTAGATAGGTAGGCTTTAAAGCTCTTCCCGCAATCACGACAATTATTCCCTTGCTACATGAAGCATCTTATGTAAAGCATGTTGAAATTTTGTTCAACTTTGCATAACCATGCCTTATAATGGTATGATTTCCCTTCTAGAGAGATATAATAAGTAGGACCCGTAATTCAACTCTTGATTACCTGTGTGTTGTTATACCTCTTTACTACTGTTATTTGAATTTGTAGAATTCTACTGCTGGATATGTTGCTATAGCTGGTTATCGCTTTATTTATATGGCTTTCGTCTTTTGTATAGAGTCAACTTGGAGTTTATATAAGGTACTTATGTCACTTTTAAAATTCAGCTCGAATTCGACGTGCCGTATAATCGTCAGTCTAAACTTGTATACTGTTGCACGGTACTATTTCGCCTCAAAACTTAGGCCACGGTATCATCTAGCCTCGTTATACCTTGGCCAATCACGGCCCCTTCCTATATTACCTTACCTGCGCATAATTCACCTTGCCTCAACATATAAGACTTTCAAGTTGCAATGTATCTGGTATATACCGATTGCCTCTTTGGACTTGGCTAGATCCCTTGATGTGCCGATAGAGAGCATGGAAGTACGAGAGCGAACTTGGGATATATAACTTATTTAAATTGTACGTACAAATAGTATAGGCTTCAGTTTATGTTTGTAATAAGGTGGCGGCTCAATTTCTAGGCAATATAGCTATTTCGTGTTTTTATAACTCCGGCTTAAAGTTCAATTCTAGAACTTGTTATCATTGTCTCGTGGTTACCGCGCCAGTATAAGAAACTGAAGTGGATTGGATAAGTAGGATAAATTGACGGCATCATTGTTGAGGAGTATATTCCAAAGACCTCCAGGAGTTCATAGTTCCGATTGCTTTCTAGGATTACGGAGACTATGTTAAGATATTTGGATGCTGGTCGAACTATAGGTTTGAAGGCTTTTGCTGCGAAAATAACACTCTAGAGAGACAAACGGGCCCAACCCGCCTCGAATCGCATCATATCCCAGGCCGTACTCGCGAGGCCGCTTAGGCATGGTAAGAAAACCAGCCGGCTGACAGCTTTACACAGAAAATTACACTGGTGGGATAGCCGCGAGATCGTCGTCTATTTTTAATGTATATGGAGTTTTGGATATGATAATATCTTGCGCGCGGTTGAGTGAACCGCGAGGTCCGACACCTAGGGTTCTCCCATCGGGCAGACCCTCCCAGGTGGCAAGTTTAGTGGGTTGATTATGATATGTGCTCGACAACAAGTCTCCTCACATTTGCTAGTTACAGAATCCCATCGGAGCCACGTTCCGGGACAGCTTACCAGATCAGAAATGTCCTTTCACGCGGCAACGCGCCGCTACTTTCGCACTTTCAAATTCCGTCGACGCAGCCAAGGCCCTCCTCAATTGGATGCCGAGATGTGACGTCTGTTCCCGGAATTGGAGCAGATTTGGAGTATTTAGCTTAGGCTTCTGATTTGCTGGATGGAAAACCGTTACCTCCTTTGCGGCTAAATAGAGAGAGGACCCATTCTGTTTCGCAGGGCAGACCTATGATAGCGTGTGTTTCACCTAAGAAGGGAGTTTAGCCAAACAGAGAGGCTTCTGCCCCCGTCGCTAGTAGGACGGTGCCTTACTTCTCTTGGCTTAACCACCTAGGCATTGCCCGTTGCATATTGTCTCCCATGGGGAAGCAATCTATAGTGCTGCAGATCGTTCCATATGGGGAAGTCTTGGCATTCTCCGTTTACACATGTCGCCGCGAACGAAGTTACTATAAGCCGCTAGGCTTGGTTCACTGTGACTTTGTGTACTACCTATCCCGGGGAGCTCTCTAGTAATGCTTGTAGTTTACCATTTTCGAGCAGTAAAATGACTCCATGCACCGGCCCCCACGGATCTCGAATATGCCATGTAAAGTTGAATGCGCTGGGAAACAGTTGAATAGCCAGCTGGGACCTCACCAAGGCTGCATGAAGGAGAATCTCTAGCATAGATTGAGGCTTCCAAGTCCCCTTTCCACACACAACCTCAATAGGCCCGAACGGGTGGTTATAAAGATGATAAATTAAGATCATCGTAGGGAAAAAATACCAAAGGCGTCCAGTCCGGCCATATGGTATTCACGGTGGCCAACAGGACCCCGCAATTTCCCCCCGCGACGATGGAGCTTACCGTTAGAGTCTATATTCGGAGTAGACCTACCGAGATCTTTCGCGTTTGACGGGCCTAGTTCCTGATTGCCACTCCACGCACATGGAGTAGAGATGCATATGGATCTAAAGGCCTGGAGTGGCACCTCCGCCACAACGGCCACTATAAGAAGCTCGAGGATACCGCCCCGAATATGTTCTTGATTCCCTTCTTACCGCACTCGCTCATTACAATCTAAAAGGTTATATCCGGGTCGAATCGAATATGAAGGTCACTACTGCCAGTGTTGCGGCTTTAGCCACCGGTGCTATTGCCGCGCCCTCAAGCACCACCCCTCGCTCAGCTAACAAGGCTGCTGCTGCTTGCTCCTCGGCTGTCACCCTCGACGCCAGCACCAATGTGTTCAAGAACTACAAGCTGCACGCTAACACCTTCTACCGTGAGGAGGTCAACAAGGCCGTTGAGCAGATGACCGATGCGGCCTTGAAAACTTCGGCCGCGAAGGTTGCTGACGTCGGTAGCTTTTTGTGGCTGTAAGTCTAATAAAACGTTGGTTAGAGTAGCATTAGCAGCTAACAAGGAAAATAGCGACAGCATTGCCAACATTGCCAAGTTCGACGCCGCCGTTGAGGACCTTCCTTGCGAGGATATCCTTGGTCTTGTTATCTACGACTTGCCCGGCCGTGACTGTGCCGCCAAGGCCTCCAACGGTGAGCTCAAGTACAACGAGCTCGACCGATACAAGACTGAATACATTGACCGTGAGTTAATACCAGCACTCATTTGGAGCGATGACCCCAAACTAACCTTACTGTAGCCATCGTCGCGAAGGTCAAGGCCAACCCCAACTCGGCTTTCGCTCTTCTGATCGAGCCCGACTCTCTCCCCAACTTGGTCACCAACTCCGACCTCAGCACTTGCCAGGAGAGCAAGACCGCCTACGAGGAGGGTGTCGCTTACGCTCTTAAGAGCCTCAACCTTCCCAACGTCGTTATGTACGTCGACGCTGGTCACGGTGGCTGGCTCGGCTGGGACGCCAACCTCAAGCCCGGTGCTGAGGGCCTTGCCAAGGTTTACAAGGCCGCCGGCAGCCCCAAGCAGGTTCGTGGTTACGCCACCAACATTGCTGGCTGGAACTCTTGGGACCAGGAGCCCGGTGAGTTCTCGGACGCGTCCGATGCCAAATACAACTCGTGCCAGAACGAGAAGACGTACGTCACCAAGTTCTCGGCTGCCCTTAAGACGGCTGGCTTCCCCGAGCACGCCATCGTCGACACTGGCCGTAACGCCGTTACTGGCCTCCGTGAGGAGTGGGGTGACTGGTGCAACGTTAAGGGAGCTGGTTTCGGTGTCCGCCCGACTGCTGACACTGGCCTCGAGCTGGCTGATGCCTTCGTCTGGGGTAAGCCCGGTGGTGAATCTGACGGTACCAGCGATGAGAGTGCTACCCGTTACGACTCTTTCTGCGGAAAGCCTGATGCCTACAAGCCCTCTCCCGAAGCCGGTGAGTGGAACCAACCCTACTTCGAGGAGCTCCTCAAGAACGCCAAGCCCCAGTTTTAAGCGGTTAGCGTGGGCAGTTATGGCATTTGCGTCCGACTTGGTGGTGCAGCTGGTGGGACGATGTGAAGCTCAGCTCTGTTTGTCTATCAAGATGGACTAAGCGAGCTAAGTGACACAGGTCGATTGTAAATAAAGGAATCTGGCTGTTCAGACCATAGACGCTCTTTTTTCCTCGATCAAAAACTCTTGTACTGAAAATTTAAACTGTATATAGCTTTTGTGCAGTACATACGCAACTTTTCCCCTATAACAAGGTCAAAAATAAGGTCAAACTATTTGCTCGTGATGTTGACTGAATGATGTGATGCATTAAACCATATGTGGGTTGGTAAAGGGGAAGAAGACTTTTAGTACGACGGTTATACCCGTACAGAATCCACTTACAGGGGGCCGAAGCGAGAATCAACGTTAGACCATTGCTAGCGCCTAGGTACATACAATAAGTTATTAGTGCGTCGCTGTTGCCCGTTCCTGCTATAAAAAAAAAAAAACGCAAACGGACATAAACAGGAAATTGTAAATAAAAGCAACCACTTCAGCGCTCTTTCCCAAGAGATAAGGTATGAAGCAGGAAGATAGCCTAGATCGAGACCCCAGCAATCAACGAATGAATTGAGTACATATGTAATTAGGTTTTTACAAACTTGAGACCATAATGACTAATCTCACCTGTACGACCACTCCACGTATCGTACATCCTTGACCAACTTGGAAGGGCCGACTTGGAAGCCCAACTTGCGCACCCCCCAAATCCTGAACTCATAAATCCAAAACTTGTTCTGCGTTACTTACTAACCACCTATTAATCACACCACCTCGTAATCTCTCACCACCAAACACTGTAAAGTCCATCACGATAACTTCACTTCGTTCAAGGGGAGAACCCTTTTAGACGAAATGTTGGAGGAACAGCAGGGAAGCTCTTCATCTAGCAGCTATGAAGATGCCCAAGAGAACGGAGACTCGCCAAAAGGTCGACGTTGTGGCATCGTGAGCGATTTCCTCGCCAGGCTTGAGCACTTCACCTGGGCTAATTACACATTTCCCATGTCCACCGGAGGCCTTGCTTTACTATTAGCAGAGCAAACTCAAGGCTTCACGTTCCCGGGCCTTCAGACAATCGGAAAAATAGTTTATATATTCGACCTTATCGCTTTCACACTTGTCACCGCCGCCATTACTTATCGCTTCGTCAAGTTTCCTGGTACTCTCAAGCACTCCATTACTCATCCAACCGAAGCGCTATTCCTCGGGACGTCGACCCTCAGCATAGCATCTATCATCGCCGGTATTGCTCGCTACGGAATTCCTGCCTGTGGGCCGTGGCTTGTCACGGCGTATAGGGTCTTATTCTGGATATACTTCTTGATCACATTTGCAATCGCGGTTGGCCAGTATTCTCTACTCTTCACCTCACCTCTCTTGAAAATTCAAGATATGACTCCAGCTTGGGATCTTCCTATATTCCCCTTTATGTTATCTGGTACCGTCGCCTCGGCAGGCGCCGCTTTACAACCGCCAAATGAGGCCATCCCTATGATAGTTGCCGGCCTAACTGCCCAAGGTCTTGGGATGTGCGTATCAATCATGATGTATGGTGCGTATTGTCTTTAACCTTATAATCCACATTGTACGTAGATACTAATCGGTTTACAGTAAGTATTGACATTTCATTCTTTTATAAAGGGGTTTCTTCGTTCGGTTTAACTAGAGAACGTTCACGAGGGATTTGAGCTTCTTAGGGGAATTGCTAACATAGAGTAGGCCAGCTATGTAAGACGGATGATACAGTGGGGGTTTCCATCGCCTAACTCACGACCCGGTATGTTCATAGCGGTTGGACCACCTTCATTCACCGGCCTCGCTATCATCGGCCTCGCGAACGACTTCCCCCAGCACTACAATTACTTCGGTGCCGACTCTATCACTGTCCAGATTCTACGAGTACTAGCAACTACCACGAGCATATTCCTCTGGTCGCTTAGTTTATGGTTCTTCTGTATCTCCGTAGTGGCTAACCTTGCCATCAGAAAGCAGCTAACGTTCCACCTAAATTGGTACGCCTATGTGTTCCCAAACGTTGGGTTCACAATTACAATTATTTCTATCGGCAAGAACCTACAAAGTCGAGGGATCATGGGAGTCGGTAGCGCAATGACTCTAATGTTAGTCGCGATGTGGATCTTCGTGTTTATCCACCACGTAAAAGCTATCATTAACCAAGAAGTAATGTTTGAAGGTAAAGATGAGGACGTCTACGTTAATGAGAAAAACCACTCACACGTCAAGCCTGCTAAAAGCGGCAGTGATATAGAGAAGGAGGCATGATCCAGATTCCAGTTAGATACCCATCCAGGTACTCGTCCTCCCTAAAGTCGATCCGTGTTCACAACGAGGCTAGATCTTAGGGATATCATGCTAAGTCGCATAGCTTCATGGAGGTTACGAAACGAAATGAGTTTATGATTACTCAAACTTAGATATATTTAGAGGGGTTAGATGTTGCGTAATGAGGCACGAATAGAATGGTTCGTTCGTTAATAATAATAACGATAGTTAATAATAATAGTACTTTGACAACGGATACTAGGAGCTACATATATGGATTCTAATGTGACTCGTCAATTTAAGCATTTGCATTTAAGCAGCCTATATCAACACGTAAGAGCCCCATGCTCATAATATACTTATATTACTAGAATACTTTGAATGCCGGATTTCTTAGCGGTCTACTAAGTGTGTAGTTTGTGCTACCACTTGATCCCCCAATGGTAACAACATGCGAGTATAAGCCGACATGGGGGAGGTCAAGTTTGATCAGACACGGCATGCAGGGATGTTTATGGAGGTGAGGGATCGTTGTTAGGGGGTTGTACTGGTCTATATTGTTGAGCTTGAGCTTGTATAACGCTATGTTAATGAATAAGGCGTGGCGTGTCGTTTGCAGTATGGGAGTATGGTATCGTGTGGATTAGATGATTGACTTTACGTGGTGTTTCTGGTGTCGGTAGGTCTAAGTTGGATTGATGGTGGCTTGTCACTCTTTGGGTAGAATATGGGTATTGTTCAATGAATTATAAATTGCGGCAACTCTTATACTTAATCGTATAATAGAAGAAGTTATTATAGGGTATGATTCTAAGTACCATAATTTGAGTCCAACCCATGTGAATGTATACCCTACGTAGGTACCTAGGTAAATAAAAAGGGGAAGACAGAGTAAAGGGGATTAGTCTCACTTAAATTCTATCAGGCACTTCCTATCGTAATACTACCTACATAACTAACCTTACTTCTATATTACTAGAGGATACTATAGGGTAGGTAGTCTACTTGGTGAGTCTATGAATCACTGTTTTTATATATTGTGAATTAGAGACTATCAATTCACTACCACGAGCTAAGGACCTTGATCATTGTATGTATCGCTACCAATATGCTAATATACCTGCCCAGTCATGAGAATTAAAATAAGTGATTTAATGCTCTATGGCGTAATATACAAGTAGATACCATCCCCCAATTTCACTTCCAGATCCCTCCTTTTCCCGTTCATCACCGACTTCTCCTCCCTACCCTCCAGCAGCACTAACAAGAGACATATCCATATCATAGCAAGGACACGGCAAACCAATATGCCTTCCGTATCCATAGCAGGAAACACACCCACTGAGGATGCCCTTCGCGAGCGATGGCTCCATATCGAGCCTCGATTTACCAGCATGCTCCCCGGCTGCGACTGTACCTTCGAGCAGCGTCTTATGAGTCTCTGGCCTAGCGAGTACGTAGCTTTTGCAGACACTCCCGAGGAAATAGACCGTCTCGAAACCCTGGACCTAGTCCTCACCGTTCTGAAGGTTGTCGTATATCCGAATAAATACAAGGATACCGCACATCTCAACGGAAGCATCATAGCCGCTGCTCGGACGTTGGGCGACTGGAAGAAATACTTCCACTGCGAAATGTACTGGGAGGATGGCAGGCTGATGAACAAGGCCCTCTGGAAGCCGACTATTCAGCTTTCGCTTCCGGGCGTGGTTGAGGGACCAAATATCCGGTTTCAGTTCAAGCCCCCCGGGGAGCTAGTTGAGATCATCGAAACCAAGATGCAAGAGTGCAGGGTTCTCTAGTAGCGTTAAATCCTTCCCCCTCCTTTTAAAGCAGTTGGTTAGATTACTTCTGTTGATGCTCGTAGCCTGGATCACGAATATATCAACGAACCTTGGACACTGGATATGCATAGTGAATTTCAACTACGATAAGCCATCTACATAGTATTCATTAATACGCTTCGTGAATATATATGTATTAGATAATAAACGTGTCTATACTCTCTAATATACTTTCGTATGCCAGTATTCTAACCGGCGCTTAAGCTCTTTGTATCCTGATAGTTCTATATAGCAATATCCACTATTGGAAAAAGGGCCAGAAAACTTCGAATTCTCTCCACTACGGCAGCCATACAGAGTATATAGTATGACTTACTTCCGATCCAATTATGAACGTCCTGCCTTGATGGTATCAATACCGCGCCTCTCCTCTCGATTCCAGAATAGAAAATCGTCCCTGCGATAAAAGGAAAAAAAATCGCTCTGCTCCTTTCACCCATCCTAACCCCCGCGCGCACGCTCACACCTGCATTTTTGACCCTGTCCCGCGAATTCGCGAACTCTGAGGGTATAATATAAATAGTACAGAGTTCTCCCTGTCTGGCGATTCGACAGAGGGTATTCTAAAAGAAAAGGAAAGAGCAACGCCGTCTGTTTTCAACTATCCCAACCAATATATGCTTTCATTATGTTAATCGAACGCAGTCGTAACTCATAGCTTCTTAAACGAGCCAGACTGGCTAGCTGTTTTGATTTATGACAAGGTATTAGATGTCTCAATCGGCACCGATGGTGTAGTTTCTCGGTTGCGGACTCACCGCACCACTACCGCTCATGCTGACGCTCGCGCTACCAGAGAAGTAGCTCTGATCAATTCGAGAGATCCAGTCAAGCTTCTCGCGCTCATTACGAGCCGCAAACAGCCACGTGTTGTCTGTCCCATAAACAGCAAAAACGCCCGCCTGCAGACGTTCGCTTAAGCCGCCAAGACTAGGACCTGAAGATCTGGTATTCCCAGACCAAACGGTTGAAACGGTCCGACCTGACGGCGTCCGATGATGGCCTGGCTGGAAGTTCTCGTGAGCATTACCGTTTATTGGGGTTAACCCATCTGGTTCGTCATCGTGGCCATTAAACAGTGATAGAATCTCTGGCTGGCTATCAACCCTAGAATTGCGAAGACTAACGATCGCCACCTCGTCACCGTCACTAACGTCATGGATATGAAGATAAGGTCTTCGGAGTTCCACAAATCTCTTGACCCATTTGCTGTAGTCATTATTGGGGACTAAAAGATAGCCTCCTTTTAGGACTTTCGGGTTCTTCGGAACCCGGATGACGGTGGAGATCAACCTTGGAGGTGTCGCAGACTCAGGTGCGACGCCATCTGAGGGAGGTGCTGTGTTTGCTGGACCAAGGATCCGGGCTGTAGGATCCGGATGTCGCAACCAGAGCTTTATGCATTTATTGAGGATAAGGGTTTCGTGCTCGTTGTACTCTGGCTCTTGGGGTTGTACAGGTGGCTGCTCGGAAGGCTGCTCGCACTGTCCCGATAGCTGGTCTACTTTGTCGCCCTCGATCGACTCTGGCTGTTTTGGCGTGGACGGCCGCGATGTCTCTGGGGTATCGTTAAGGAGTGCGTCAATCGAATCCTGGTCGTCATCATGAGTCTGGAGCTCTGGGGAAATATCATCATCGGAATTATCCTCATCTTCAGCAGGCTTGTTCTTCGGTTCAGGTAGACCAATCTTCTTGAGAAACAACTGAGCTGCCGCAATTTCAGTAATGCGTCTCTTTTTCTTCCGTGCAGTAATGTAATCGGCTATTAATGAAACTCCCCTTGGGCTCCAGTTGTTCAAATTCTCTTCGCCTTTTACGTAGCTATGCAAACTGTTCATTCTCCATAGATCGCCGACCCGCTTAATAGGTGCCGGTCGCATGCCTAAGGTGAAGATAGCCGTAGAAGAACGCACGATCCTAACATGTTGGAATAGAGCTGATAGCATTGACGTCTGCCGGACAAACGTCCTGCCCAAAATCTGGCAGTAAACGTTCGTTGAGAACTTCATTGGCTCGGCGAGATTGTCAGCAGTTATATCCCAGGACAGAGTCATCTGCACTTTGTATTTATCTGCTGTCGTACGATCAAGCAAAAGAGAATTGTGTAAGCTAGAATCCCACTGCCCTGTAATGGCCATGCCCCGCGTGCCGTTTGCGTTTTGGCGGCGATAGGGTTTCGCGCTCAATCTTAAGGGGATATCGGGCGTAGGTGATCCCATATCAGGATTTTTGCCGGCGTGGTCGACAAGCTGGATCTTGCCAATGCGGACCGAAATGATATCCTCCCATGGCAACGTATCTCCTGAGCTATGTGTGAGGTTGATCGCTACCCGTCTCTGAAGTCCTTGGTGCAATTGAAAAGTGCCAGTATCGAGCTCACTTGTTTGCGTAACCTCAACAGGAACATACTCCCCATTCTCATTAAGTTCTAGTATCTGAATCCGGGCAAGTAGATCGTGCTTCTCCTCAGTGTAGAACTGTGTTTCATTTATTCGAGCGCCCGGAGAATCGTGCTCGGGGTTTGGGGTGGCGTCACGCATCTCATCCCAACTCAACAACTTATCGAGATGCATCGTAGAAACCTTGGCGAAAATAGCAATTCTTAGATCCACGTCTCGAGACCCAAACAATGGAACGCTCATGCTATGGACACTGTCGAATCGTATAGGGCCTTCGTCGAAATCCTTGATCATTTGAGTTGTAGTGACGCTATCTGAGACACCGGGGATGAACAACTGCGCATGTACGTCAGTTCCCTCTCGCTCAGCAAAGCCAATCATGTCGTGCATAACAACGTTGTATTTTAAAGTACTCGACGGAGCTCGGGCGCTAGAAGGTTCCAGGGATACTTTAATAATACCAATGGCATGAGAAGTATGAGGCGATAGGACGTCCAAGGTGAAATCCTGGACTCGGCTATCGAAGACAGCTCGGAGAGGGACATCAACCTCGCCAACGAGAGAATACTCGGGCATGCAATTCTCAACAAAGGGATTGTCTAGCTTGAAATGTTGAGAGTACTCCGGCTGGTCAAGATATTGATGCATCTGCCGCATCTGCCGCACGCGATCATGGAGCTTTTCTAAGCTCCAAAGGTGGACGACGGTGTTCTTGTAGTCGACAACGCGGACTCCCACACACGGCTTTTGAGCTTCGTCAAGAGCCGGGTCTTCACCCTCACTTGGTACGTCGTTTAGTACCATATCATAGGAAGAACAGCGCGCGTGACCGATGTCTACAACCGTAAATTGGAAGACAACGTTCTCTCCCAGTTCCTCACTCATAATCTGTGCCTCCTTGAGGGTAGTCGCATGTTGTAGGACGGCTTCGGCCATCTGCACGTAATGACGGCCTCTCCAGTGCGCGATGGTCTTTTTAGCCCTCTCAATCTCCTCTTCGGTTAACTTTGGTTTTGCCTTAGGTCTCTTCAGGGGATCGAGCTTTTCAATCTTAGCTTCGAACTCTTGCTTTTGGGTTTCCAATTGCTTTTGCATGTCGGCTTTTAGCTGGACTAGAGTCTCTTCCATCCTAGCCTTCTCCTTTTTGATATCCTCCACTTCAACGTTAGCCACGCCGGCGCTCTTAAGTTGCCCTTGATATTCTTCTTTCTGCCTCTCCAACTGATTTTGCATGCTATCTCGCATTTCCTTGAGTCGATCGTCCCCTTCACCGGCTTTCGGGGTAGACGGCATCGTAAGCGCCGTATCCAACGAGAGATTATCAATTGTGCCAGTCGACATATACTTCTCCCTGATAGGATAGGAAGTGTTAGATTCTGAATCATCATCACCTTCGCGATCATTGACACGCTCAGCTCTAGCTCGCTGCACGTCTTCGAACAACGCATTAAGCTCCTCGTCTGTCAAACTTTGAAGGTTCTTATCTGTCCCGAGGATGGCACCCGCGGCTTCTCGTCGTGCAAAGGACCAATCTGTATCACGCTCGCTTCGATACGGAGCGGGTGAGTCTGGGCGACTATCAGGAAACTCGGAACCAGCTTTACTGAAGGATCGATCGTGACCTGGCCGCGGGGATGGAGATGTACGTTCTAGATCTCGCAATTGGCTTACAGTAACGGACTGCCGAAGTAGACTTTGCCGGTTCTCGTCCCTCTCTGCACGAGCCTCCATTGGATGGTTGAATCTGAATATATGAAAATCACCCAAGATAACACGGAAGCCAGAATGCAACCTTGTCGTCTCTGCGATACGCTTTCCGTTGACCATGATAGACGCACCTTCGCTTGGTGTTATTGTGACAATGCCGTCTGAAGAATTGTCAAAGTAACAGTGCTCATGAAGAATTCGAGTGCCGTTGAGACGAATATTTGCCTGATGCTCCGAATTCGATTCTACATTTCCTACCGTCGTCCTACCCGGCTTAAGGTTATAGACCAAACATTCCGCGAGAAGAGGGTCGTCAGACAAGTTGACCAAGTGAGGCATCTTCTTGGGGGTATGCAATCCCACGAATCCCTTTTCAATGCTGATACCGAGTTCTTCAAGAGCAGCTTCTCGCTCCTTGTGGATCTCTTCCGTCTTCTGGAGTTTCTCTTCCCAGGTTTGGTTGAGATCGGTCAACAACTTCTCGCTTTGACTCAGCTGTTCAGCAATTTCTGCCTTTGATACCTTCTTGACAGACCCATCGGATTGCGTGATGCTGACGATCTGCTTCTCCAGAGGTGTACCTTCAGCATAGACTTCTTCAGGGGGCACAGCAGAGGCGCCGGGGCCGCCGCCACCACCTCCCAATTTACTTCGCAGTACTGCTAATTCTTCCTTCAATTCCCTAATCATGCGGGCATTCGCATCTTCATTGACAACAGCATGATTCTTGATTCGCTTAGCGGAGTCAGCATATCGTAGAGTACTTAAGGTTTCGTCGTAGTTGATATCAGCCGGGCTGATTGCCGCAATCATAGCGGTCATACTGTTTCCACCAAGCGAGTCCTTTAGAAGCCACGTAAGAACACTATCTCGATATGGAACGGTTCCTCCCGGTCCTTTCTTCTTTTTCCCTGTTGAGAGGTCGGCCAATGCTGCTATCACACGGCCAAGCGTCGAGAGAGACCTATTGATCTCAGCACCTTCCTTTAGTCGAGCACCAGTAGCACCAGTTGACGTTGCTCTCTCCGAACCAGCTAAATCGACCAAGCTAATTTTTGCTTGCTTCTCCATCTCCATTTTCGTCTCGGCATCGTACTTCTTTTGCGTGAGCATGAGCGTGAACACGGCGTGACTCCTACTGGATGTTTCATTCATATTTGTCGCGGCAACTGTTCTCGCCTTGTTGCCTTCGTCCATAAGGTGCTCGATCTCCTGAAAGCTGCTGACCACCAACTTGGCGAGATCCTCTACATAAGGACCAGTTGAAGGGTGTTCTCGGACCTTCAAGTTCCCTTTTGTGGATGGGTTTAACAAATCCCGTACCCTTTCATTATAAATCTCGAGATACGATACCTCTACGGTACATCGAGTCGTCTTGTCTTTCTGCAGTTCTTCGATTCTTCTAAACATATCCTGGCAGATGTGGGGTATAATACCGGCCTCTTTGCCATATCCCATCATGGAATATGACTTACCAGAACCCGTCTGTCCGTAAGCAAAGATACAGTTGTTGTATCCTTGAAACGCATTGTCCAAGAGTGGTTTCCCAAGATCGCCATGTAGGTTTTCTTGGCCGGCGTAGTTTGGGTCATTTTTGTTAAAGGACCAATACGACTTGTCAAAGGCGAACGCCTTCGGTGAGTTATCTTTAGATCCTTTGGGGCCATGAGCGGCGTCGGCAGGCGGTGTCAGAACCGTTTGGTTGCCTTTCATCTCAACAATACATTTTGACCCACGGTCGATTTCTATACCGAGTTAGCATCCAGCCATTCCGAGCGCAAAAGCCGACAGAGCTATCCAAGCCATATCAATCTAGCAAATAATCACAACCGTACCTCTACTGTTAAAGGGCCGACATCTCACCACCACCTTAATGTTTCCTCCACCAGCGGGAGCCATGGTTGCTAGTTGAAGGAGATATCCTCCTGTCCACTACAGCTATTCACCCAGTATGAAGTAGAGTCGAGGCATCCGACAGACAGGGCGCGCAGCGATGGCCTTTAGTGGGGAGGTTTGGTGTAGACCTCGCGTCACAAAGACTTTCGACGCCCCTCACTGATTTTTTAAAAGATCGCAGTCGGATAACTAATTTGTCCAGCCCTATGATTTTTTTATAGATCCTAGCTTAATAACAATCCTAATTATTCATCCTCCCCTTTATTACACGGGGGCGGCCGCGAAACTCAATCCGTAGCTCCCGTAAAAGCACTTAGTACTGGATGGCGGCGGTGGAGTCGTGAATGCAGGGAGCAGATCGCCAAAAGCAGCCAAGCGGCTGCAGGTTGCCGTGGAATATGTATAGTGGGACGGCCAGATCGCGAGATGCAGAGGTGTGGGTGTAGTATGTAAGGCTTTCTTCTTCGCAGCAAGAGTCTATCGCAGAATGTCGGGCGTTGTCGCGGAGATGGTTGTTGAATTTTGGTTGGTGGGATCAGTCAACAACTTGTTAACAAGTAAATGGAAGTAAATGGTTGTAAATGGTTAATTGGGAACGCGATTCGCGACAGGCGGCTTCTCATTCGTTGCAGAAAGAGGTAATTATGGGGCGAATGCCAAGATATTCACGTGTCGGTATGATTAAACTCATTAGCTAAGATTAGATCAACTGATACCTGAGGATTAAATTTAGCACCCTCCCCCCTATTAGTCTGTCTTAGGTACCTAGGTACCTAGGTTATAACATCAGGCCTCAAATAGGTAAATTTCAATTCATAGCATATAAATAGTGATACCATATACTGAATATACTAAACCAGACCCCACTAAAATAGTTAGGTTCCAACATTTCTTTATAACTAGAAGTCTACTAACTAGTTAGTTGCTAATAGGTAGTTGCTATCATCAAGTCCAAGAATTTAGGAATGCATGCGACTTTTTAATCATGAGTCATGACGCAGATGACCAGCCTTCAAAGACCACGTAAAACTATAGAGCTTATCTATTTCAACCCCAAATCCTTCTCTAACTGGCCCTTAGTAGTGGATGGGTAGAAGTCTTTGTTCTCCTTGAACGTCTTAACAGCTAGGTCCCTATCCAACTCATTCAGCTTCCTGTATAAAGGTCTCACGAACTTCATGCGTCCGACGGAGCCGAGGAGGTCAACTATGCCAGGTAGCTCTTGTCTATCTCCAGCCAGGAGAGCGATTAGGTAATACGCCGATTTTAACTCGACATTCTTTGAGGAACTTATATTGTAAGTAGTCCCTAAGAGATGCGACCTCTCAGCATTCAGAGGCTTTGGGAAGCTCTGTACCGCTTGCAAGAAGACGAGTGTCTGGTTAGCCGTAAATGATTCAATGTCTTTACTAGTTGGTTGGTAATCCTGTAGATCGTGAGCTCTTGAGCAACAAATCGTAGACTAAGCGCTAAGCAAGGCAAAGACACATACCTCATCCTTCCATTTCTCAGCTAGTGCAAGGCAGCTGTCAACATAAGCCGTGTTGAAATCAGGCTTTGGCGGCAAGCCTGGCTTATAGAACTTCTCCTCCCAAGGGATCTCGGCAATCTTCTCCTTAATCTCCGAATTGCCATAGCTCTCGAAGAAATCCAGGAAAGTCTTCTTGAACTCGAAAGAATCCAATGACTTATTAGCCCATGTTTTGAAGTAATGAGGTATGAACTTGTCGAAATGTTCCCTTCCAACCAATCGGTCAAGGTAGTAGAGGAAATGAAAGCCTTTCTCGTACGGAATCGTACTGAAAGCATCCTCGGGATCTACTCCCTTATGGTTGATAATGAGTTTGGTAAACTCATGATCAGGCCCGAACAACGTAACAGAGTCCTCTATAAGCTTGTTAGTGTTGAGCAAGAAAGTATACGTCGAATTGCATACCAAGTGCTTTCCAGCCGATAATAGCTGAGAAGTCGAATTGAGGTTCACCGTGAACGGCCGCGCCAATACGTCGCTCAAGGTAAGTTGTCCATCCTTCATTTAGCCAGCTACGATTATTTAGCACCACATCGCGAAACAGTCATCAACAGGGAACCTACAAGTGTTCCCAAGACGCGCAGCCTACGAGATTACCACTCCAACTATGACTCAACTCGTGTGCGATTACATCAACATTCTGGCGGTCTCCGCTGATGATAGTGGGCGTAGCAAAAGTGAAGATGGGGTTCTCCATCCCTACAAGTATAAGTTAGCGAGATTCCAAGACTACCTAAGAAGTCACTAGCAACCTTACCTCCATAAGCGAAGCTCGGAGGCAACACTAATACGTTGTACTCTCCCCATTGGTATTCGAATATCAGCTTCTCTGCTACTTCGAGGAACTTGTCCATATCTGCTTCGAGTTCCCATTTTGCGCCCTCGAGTGCCTCGGGGCCGGTCGTAACGACAGATCGTTTCCCAATAGGTGCGGTTGCGAGATCTCCCGAAGCTAGGGCAAACAAGTACGAGGGGATAGGGACCTTCTGCTCAAAGCGGAACAGCTTGTCACCGTCTCCCTTGTTATCTGAGGGCACGGGTACTCCGCTAGCAACTACCGGTAGTGGTGAAGTGATATTGAAAGTAAATGTTGACTTGACATCCGGAGTATCTTGACAAGGGAAGATAGACCGGGCCAGAATAGCTTGGCACTGGGAGTATACATATGGGTGTTTCTTGTTACCAGTCTGAGCTGGGGTCATCCATTGCAAACCAACACAGCTCTCGGTGGTCTCTAGGGCAATATCCAGCTTTACAACGTCACCCTGAGACACACCATTCGGTACAGAGACATGAAGCGGTGCGCCATAAGGCTCGACTCGATCTTTGACAGCCCATTCTGAGTCGGCTGAGTCAAGCTTGACCGATGAAATAGATAGGTGATTTGTATCGAGGATGATCTCACGGCTCGCCTTGTTTGTTAGAGACTCAAGCTCCAGGAGAACAAAGCCTTCTAGACGCTGTTTCTCAAAATTGATCTTGAAGTTTACGGTCGTGTGCTTGATACCCCATTCGCCATAATTGGCCAGTGTGTTGGGGTCACGAGGTGCCATGGTTCTCTTCGAAGCAAGGCTAAAATGTCGTAAATGGAGGTGCACTGATAATTTGCTGTTTGTGAGCCGGATACTTCTAAACAGAAGACGCCCCCTCACAAAGCTGTTCAGCTCTCGCATCGATTGAAAATATCAGCCACCTACCAGATTAAGCCAAGTACCTACGGTTAGGTACATGGAGTTTTGCTTGTTGATGGAAGATATGTAACCTATAAAAGATACCTAAGCGGGGCAATGACTTCCGAGGCTAGCCGTCTCAAGCCTAAAAATAATCTACGGAATTCATCTAAGAGAACGGAGTTAAGCCCCTCATTTGTATGCATATATCTATTAACTAAATGTTTAATACCTGATAACATCATATCAGACACTTATTCAACATGCAGCTTTAAGACCTCATTAGGTACATACGTATGAGGTAGTCATCCTCTTGGACGTGATCCTTTCTTGGGCCACTTACATCATCATGCCAAGTATAGAAATCGAAGTAAAGAAAAGGTTGAATCAAATATGTATGAAAAGGTTAGTTAACTTAGATCGGTAGGTAATCTGAAACGATGCTCCCTGATGGTTTACTTACTAAGTTATGACTAGCCCGTCACGAACTGCACCAGAATCAGATCCTTCTGCCCTGAAACAATCTTCTTGACAGCATGCTTGTTTTTTCTTGTTATCTATCGCCGGAAGCAGAGCTGAGGATACCCGTCTCCACATCTAGGTTATGATGCTCGGCATGTAAAAGACGGGACGAAAATATTCCTAGAGATCCAGAACGATTTACGTAACGTGAAGAAAACACATCTAAATGTCACAGACATAGGTGTGTAGAAATAAGTTATCTAAACCCAACAACTACATATCTAATATGCCGCCGAATAAACCCTAAGGTCATGACAGTTAAGTTGAACTTGCAGTATCAGGATTATCTAGGAAAAGGGGGAATAGTAATAGAGTAAAGATGTTTCTGCAACTTCATCCGTCAGCCCTGACGTAGCATTCAAGTGTTTCTCACTACATTGTACCAGCCGCTTCATTGAAGGATGACAGACAGCAAGGTTGGTGAGAATGAGTACCTACGGGCTACGGCCCTGCTTCGGCGATTGTGACTAGGTAGTCGGCTGGCACTGTGAGTCTGTGACATGAGTGCTCCCACCCCGTCGGGTAAAGACTTGGTTATCCTAACGTCTTCACGGAGCCCGTGCTCAGATCTTGGCATGCAGCTCGACCACTTGAGCACCTCTCTTCGAGATAGCTTCTTGGCGGAAGAACGCGCTGCACAGCACTGACCATAAACAGTCTAAGTTGGAAAAGGACAAACGCTCTCGGACCTTATGGTGATGTTTCTATGTGTCTGCAATTTATATCTTTTACGTACAATTTCATATATACGCGGCGATATTCAGGAAATTTGCTGTGATTGTTTGAATAATGGGTATGAACTCACGCTTGATGTTGTACTGGTCTTGAATAACTCTCCTTCCTACATTGGCAAGTTATCACTTTGCAACTCGCGACTTTCTGAGCACTGGGGTTTGAGCGATAGGATTCTTGATACTGCATAATACTAGGTTAAAGCCTTTACAATATCTCAACTGTATATTATGCATTATGCATAGATACATCTACTGCTAGTGAATGTTGTTTCTTTCCCAACCTAGTATGTATGAATCAGTATCAAATATTTCATCATGTAGGTCATGTAAAATACTTAGGATCGTTATTCGAATAAAAGGGGTTGCAAACCTTTCAGATCATGGGTACGCGGGGAAGTCTAGGATCTACCCGGCACGGAGTATGTACTGATCACCACTTAAACCTACCGTATCATTCATTATCGTCTCTACCTACCTAAGGTACGAGATGCCGAGCAACGGGATGCCGCAAGATAAGTGATACACTAGCGACCTGTCAAAGCGAACGCTTTCTCCATCAAGATTCTAGTCTTTCGGTGGAACTGCTAGGCTTAGCAACGGCCTTCTAGCTTCAGAATACTTAACAAACCCGTTCTAGCCTCATTTTTGACGGCGCGGAAGCCTGGCTAAGAAGGCCAGACACTTGCTAAGGTTGGTACTGAAGTCGGAAATGAGGTCTTACTAACAGCCCTGCCAAATTGCCATGTGCTGGCTAGGCCGCGCAGTGGATCTCGCGAGCTTCATGCGTGGGGAATAAGACCACCTAAAAATTACTCGTTTGGCGAAATTGATGAGAACCCTGTTGCTTAAAACTACTTTGATACGGACTTAGTCCTCGATTCGGCCAAGGTCGTTCTTTAATAAGCGAGTAGACTGGAAAGTTCCGTTAAACGTGATGCATATTCGGGGGTAGTACTCTATATTTAAGTAAACCGATATCGTGATATTACGGGAGTTCGGAATTTGAAATGGTTTCTCGTTGAAGATATCTGCGCGCTGATGCAGTTGCGAAAATAATTCTTCAGTGTCTTTAAGAGTCGATAAATACACTATATAATTCGGACTAGCGTAATACTCGAGCTAGTTTGATACGGCTAGTGATAAAGTCGGTGATAATTACGAGCGTTGACCCTGTTCTAAATATGTAAGTGTCCTAGCGCCCGATCAGTTTTCGTGCTATTTTATTTTCCGCTATCTGACTTCAGCCTTCCTACCTTTGTTACAAATTAGCAATAGATATTTATGGCCGTCTTAAGGAAGAGTGTTATCTACATACGGGTGACATAATTGAGGCTGGATTAGAACCGGTAAGAATTGACTTGTAAATATTACAGTGGTGGCGGCAGATACATAGAAGGCCTCCTTTGTAGAATTCCTTCGCGTTCCACAGCAGAGCGTGGACTTTATGCCGATAGGTTCTGTACCTGAAAACCCCGCAGGACCCTGTCTCGTTGCCAGGAACAGGTAAGAAACTAATCTGGGGGGGCCTTGTCGATATCGTAATATTTTATCGGTTAGATTCCTTGGGGTGCTGATCACTCAGATCCCTGGCTTACACACTCCCAGTTCCATGGCAAACGGGAAGGGTGATCATAAACTCTACGTTAAGTTTCTACACTCTAGAACATATTTGACGGTCTAGGTATTGTTATTAAGCTTTATGACCCAGACGGATGGATGGTCTACTTAAAACCAATACGAGAAATCCGATATTAGCTTGCAATTTTATAAGCAGTTTGTACTAAGAATAGGTACCTATTGTCTAAGGCATTCGTGAGATAACATTGCTAAGTTATCTTCCTTCTTGAGTCGTATGCTTCAGGGTTGTCTTACAGTCCTGACATGTTTCTTCATTATTTACACTAGAAACCAAGTCTTGAAATCCCAGAGCGTCTGGCCGTTCATCACGTTTTGCTATTCGGCAATTGATTGTTTCGGATTCACCCATGACATGAGACTCCTGGTTTGAAACACCAGTAATAAATGATCATCCCGATCTTTAGACCCCGGGGCAGGCTCGGATGACGTTATGAATTGGTTTGAGTAAAAAAATCGGAGTACGGGATGTCTCAGCCTTGTTCGTTCCGTAGGCGCCGACGGTTTGGTTGAAATCTACAACGTCTACCGCGTAAATTAGAAGTGTATTAGAGATCGACCTTTTTTGCTTCCTTGACCTTGTAATGTCGAGCTATTCAGCACTAAAGTATAATTTTCCGACCATGCAGTTGTAAGTAATCTAGTGTGTGTACACTACATGCCTAGCTCTGCCCCACGTCTCTTGGTGACAGCGGTATTATGTCTGAAAAGGGGTGAAACGCAAGAGATATATACATTGTACCTGCATCCATACCTGCCTTGTCCCTACTACCTTATACTAGTTACGATATCAGGGTGTGTACACGAGTAGTGGGATTATCGCGGAGGGTAAATCTTTCAACTTCAGATTGGCTCTACGTCGTAGGTAGTCGGCTTTGCCATAGTTACGTACGTATGAATCAGTAGAGGCGCCAGTCTGAAAGATCTGAAACGACCAACTCTTCCTAATACTTGCTACATCGGAACTCAGCGTAGGCTAGATATTCTAGTTAACTACATGCCTAGACGGACAGACGGAATACAAAAGAATTTTGCTATTACCTAGACCTATTCCTTTTCGAGGTTCGGTTACGGGCGCGCGCCGCAAGCTACGCCGCCACTACGCCACCGATATGCACTAACATCTCGAGCACAGACGGCCTCGATTAGAACCTGGATATGTGAACTTGCCGATCGGATATCTCAGAAGTTGAATTATTCATATTTCGGGGGGAATTCCCGTTTATGGCGTTAGTTACCCTCTAAAATACTTGGAAACGAGTCCCTCTACAATTGTGTTAGTGATATATAAAACCAGTCCTAGGTATATTTCATAGTATCTTAGATACGTTTCATAACTAGTTGATCAATACATACTCGAGTATTGTTTCTGGCAGACCACGCGTTGGTACCAAAGTTTTCATATTGTACATCAGTCAACTTCTTGACCCAAAACAAGGTTTCCAACTATGAGCGAATAAGAGGAAAACTAGATATCTTGAAGGCCTCTTGTAGCAAATAATGTACATTATAGTCACGCCATGCCTTCTAAGGTTTTGAGTTTAAAGACCAGCGGTTAAGGAGGCAGCTTTTGTGGTCACGCATACCTTATCGGCAAAGGCGCGCGGTAACCATCATCTCCATCATATGCAACTTTAAGATCATGACCACCCACTTCTTCAACGATCACAGATGGGACATATCGAGGATGATCAGGTCTGAGGGCAAGTTGGATTTCGTCGTAGTTAGGAAGGATATATTGCCTAGATGAAGGTGTAGTCGAGCAGATTCATCCCATGGCGTAGCTATTTCTCGTGCTTGGATATTTCGGTCGACGCCCGGTCCTAAGCTTTGCATCCGACTAACATTGTAATAGTATAAGATAATCCGTACTCGCCCAGAACTGTCATAGCGACAATAAAAGCTGCATACGCGCCGGCACATATATCCAGTAGCAGTCAAGCTAACTAGAAAACATCAGAGCATCTCCCCCGACTCCTGCGTTGCGATGCT